AAGAAATTGAAGAGGACATCACAAGATGGAAAGACTACATGCTCATGGACTGGCAGAACTAATACCATGAGAATAGCTATACTGTAGTGGCAAAAGTTATGTGCAAACTCAATGTAATACCAATCCAAATATCATTCCTCACTACATCAGAAAAATCAATGCAGCCAGGCACCAGTGGCTCACACCTGTAATCCTAGCTACTCAGGAGACTAAGATCTGAGGGTTGTGGTTAAAAGCCAGCAGGAGCAGGAAAGTCTATGAGACTCTTATCTCCAATTAAACTCCAGAAAAGCTGAAGTGGTGCTGTGGTTCAAAATGGTAGAACACTAACATTGAGTGAAAATTCTCAGGGACAGCATCCAGGCCCTGAGTTCAAGCCCCACAACCAAAAAAAAAAAAAAAAAAAAAAAACCCAAAAGACAAATGGAACATTCTAAGAGGCAGTAATAAAACCACACAGCCACAGACAGTTAATTTTTGACAAAGGAGCCATAAACATAGACTGGAAAAAGACAGCTTCATCAACAAATGGTACTAGCAAAATAGGCCAAACTCTTAGAGGAGACTAATACTGGACCTCTACCTCTCACCATGAATAAAAATCAACTCCATATGGATCAAAGAACTCTAATTAGGACCTAAAACTTACAAAGTAAAGATAAACTTTTCTATAGGACTCCAGTTGTAAGAATTGGCAAAGAGGACGACATCAAACTAAAGAAATCTGCATAGCAAAAGAAACAATCACCATAATCAAGAGACAACCCACAGAATGGTTATTGAACAGATAAAAGGATGCAGAATAGACTGTTTAAACAAAATCAAACAGTAAAAGACTAACCCAATTAATAAATGGCCAAATGAATTTAACAGACAGTTTTCAGAAGAAATAGAAATGACTGATACATAAAGAAATGTTCAAAATCATTAGCCATAAATAAAATGCAAATCAAACCATACTAAATTCCATCTCACCCGAGTCAGAATGGTACCCACCAAGAAAACGAATGAGTGGTCAGAAGAATGTAGGTGGAACTGAACCTTCATATACTGTTGGTGGAAATGTAAGCTAATACAATCAGTATGGATGTTCCTCAAGTAACTAAAAACAACCCCTTTGACTCCACTATACCACTATTGAGCACATGTCCAAAGAGGAGTAAATTAATATACCAAATAGACATCTGCATAACTATGTCTATTGCAGCTGTTCAAAATGAGCCCAGGGGCCCAACAACAGAGGAATGGAAAAGGAAAATGTGGTATACACACATATATGTATGTATATATAAGTATACACATATATACTAGGGAATATTACCATAGACAGAAAAAAGTGAAATCATATCATTTCCAAGAAAATGGATAGATTAAGAGGACATCAGGGCTGGGAAGGTGGCTCAGTGGTAGAGTGCTTGCCTCGCATGCATGAGTCCCTGGATTTGATTCCTTAACCCCATATACGCAGAAAAAGCCAAAAGTGGCACTGTGGCTCAAGTGGTAGAGCACTAGCCTTGAGCTGAAGGAGCTGAGGGACAGTGCCCAGGCCCAGAGTTCAGGCCCCACAACTGACAAAAAAAAAGGACATCATACTAAAGGAGACAAGACAAACTCAAAACTAATTACCATGTTTTCATTCCTATGTGGAAAAGGTACATCTAAGACATACGTATTCATGGACATGAACATGAGATTTATTTACATACATAATTATATATGTGGATGAAAAAAGAACATGAGGCCAGGCACCAGTGGCTCACACTTGTAATCCTAGCTACTCAGGAGGATCGCAGTTCAAAGCCAGCCCAGGAACCAAAGTCCAATAAACTGCTCAGAAAACTGGAAGTGGTTCTGTGGCTCAAGTGGTAGAGCACTAGCCTTGAGCTGAAGAGCTGAGGGACAGTGCCCAGGTGCAGAATTTAAGTCCCACAACCAACAAAAAAAGAAAAAAATAAATAAACAACGTAAGTCTAACTAAGGAACTGCTTAGGAAGACAAGGGGAAGGGGAAACAGAAAAAGAGAATAATTGTAAGATACACTGCAATTACATATGAAAGCAATGTAAAGAATCTCAAGCTGGGTGTCGGTGGTCCATGCCTGTAATCCTAGCTACTCAGGAGGTTTCTAAGGATCGAGGTTCAAAGCCAGCCCAGGCAATTAAGTCTACGAGACTCTACCTCCAATTAACCACCAAGAAACCTGGAAGAGGCGCTGTGGCTCAAGTGGTAGAGTGCTAGCCTTGAGCTGTAGAGCTGAGGAACAGTGCCCAGGCCCACAGTTCAAGCTCCATCCCCCCCCCACCCAAAAAAAAAGAATCTAAGGAACCAGGCATGGGCAGCCCACACCTGTTAACTTTACCTATTCAGGAAACTGAGACCTGAGGATTTCAGTTAGAAGCCAATCAGTCACAAAAGTCCATTAGCCACCAAAAAAAGCAGCAAGTGGAGCTTTGGTTCAAGGGGTAAAGCACTAGCCTTGAGCAAAAAAAGCTCAGGGACAGTGCCCAGGTCCTGAGTTCAAACCCCAGGACATGCAAAGAAAAAGGAAAAAGAAGAAGAAAAAGAGAGAAAATCTCAATAAAAATTGGTTGGTCCATTGGGGGTTAGAAGTGTGGGAAAAGACAATCAGGTTCTGTTGGAGGAGTACTAGCCTGGAGGCTGGGCTAATCAGGCTGAAAGAATAGAAATATGGTTGAAGTAGATTGTCAATATGTATGAAAGTAGAATAATGAAGCCTGCTTTGAAACTATTTTAGAAAGAAGAAAGGAGACAGGGAAAGTGATAAAAGAGGAGTGACTAATTGTATACTTACTTGGAAATATCACAATAAAATACTCCCTTATAGGGCTGGGAATGTGGCTTAGTGGTAGAATGCTTGCCTAGCATGCATGAAGCCCTGGATTCGATTCCTCAGTACCACATACACAGAAAAAGCCAGAAGTGGCACTGTGGCTCAAGTGGTAGAATACTAGCTTTGAGCAAAAGTAGCTCTCAGTGTCCAGGCCCTGAGTTCAAGCCCCAGGACTGGCAAAAAAAAAAAAATACTCCCTTGTACACTAATTTAAGAAAAAGTGCCACAATCAAATTATTCACGTAATTACCAAAGAAAAATAAAAGCATATGTTTATAACCAGACCCATACCTGAATATAAAGTATGTATTTGTAATAGCCAAAATTTAAAAATAAGCCCAAAGCTACTCAACAGTTGAGTAAATAAGATTGTATGGGATATGGCTATAACATATCCACTAAAAGGAATACTAATTTGCAATAAAAAGAAATTAATCACTAATATATAAAACAACATAAAGGAAACTCAAAGTAATTATACTGAGAACTTCCAAAAAAATAATAAATTCTACTCTTACAGAATCCTAGAATGTATTCTCCTCTTACAGAACCCTAGAAAAGGGCTGGGAATGTGGCTTAGTGGTAGAGTGCTTGCCTAGCATGCATGAAATCCTGAGTTCGATTCTTCAGTACCACATAAACAGAAAAAGTAGTAGAGGAGCTGGGAAGGTGGCTCAGTGGTAGAGCGCTTGCCTTGAATGCATGAGGCCCTGGGTTCGATTCCTCAGCACCACATAACCAAAAAGAAAAAAGCCAGGAGTGGTGTTGCGGCTCAAGGGTCGTAGAGCGCTTGCCTTGAGCTGAAGAGCTGAGGGACAGTGCCCAGGCCCAGAGTTCAGGCCCCATGACTGGACCCCACCCCCCCAAAGAAAAAAAGAAAAGAAAAAGTAGTAGAGTGCTAGCTTTAAGCAAAAAGAAGCTCAAGAACAGTGCCCAGGCCCTGAGTCCAAGCTCCAGGACTGGCAAAAAAAAGAACCCTAGAAAATACAAACCAATCTATAATGACAGAAGCAGGTAAGTGGTATTCTGTCAGGAGGCAGGAATAGAAGATAGGAGGAAGGATGGCAATGGGGCACCGCGTGTCATGCCACCTGAAATTTTATCTTACCTGAACATAGCAACTAATTCTTAAGTTCTTAAATATCTGCTAAGTAAAGGTATATCCCAGGTAATCTATAATGTCCTTATAGCTGTATTTTTATTGCCTTACTTTCACCTTGGTTAAATCAAGGGCAACTATACTCCCAAATTATGCATTCTATTGAATAATTACTGCAAGGTCCACCTCACAATTTTATCTACTTTATTAAATTGTGTTTTTACTGCATTTACCACTACTGTAACATAAAACATATTCTGTTTTCAATTATAGCAAATTACATATATATATCTGTTATACCTAGCTAGGGAAGATTTTCCAAGGGTACTAACATGTTGTTACTGACTACTTAAGGGATATCTAGTATATGAAAAACAATCTCTCTTTTTTTTTTGGTTGGTCATGAGGCTTGAACTCTGGGCCTGGGTGCTGTCCCTCAGCTCTCCAGCTCAAGGCTAGTGCTCTACCACTTGAGCCACAGTGCCACTACCAGCTTATTCTGTTTATGTGGTGTTGAGGAATCAAACCCAGGGCCTCACGCATGCAAGGCAAGCACACTACCACTGAGCCACCTTCCCAGCCCCAATCTTGTCATTTTATTCAACTTATTTTAATTGAAAAGCTCCAGACAGCTACTAACTACCTTATTAGTTAGCTCAAATCACAGCTGAAGTTCCTTAAAAGCAATGTATATGCTGGGTGCCAGTGGCTCACACCTGTAATCCTAGCTACTCAGGTGGCTGAGATCTGAGAATCAGAATTCGATAGCCTGGGCAGGAAAGTCAGTGAGATTCTTATCTCCAATAAACCACCAGAAAACCAGAAATGGCGCTGTGGCTCAAGCACCCATGCCCAGAGTTCAAGCCCCACAATTGACGACAACAACAACAAAAAAGCAATGTGTATAAAAATTGTATTTCCCTTAGCATTTACTACAACAATCTGCCAATAGAGGCAAAGGCATTTAGTAAGAAAACAAAATATCTTAAAATTAGAAAATATATATTCAATATTCAACAAATAGCACAGTTATAATAACAAAACACTTACCAAAACATCTTTTACATACTAAATCAAGTATTTCCCGAAATCGGTTTGTCATTGGTGGTAGAGGTTTTAAGTCAATTTTCCTGAAATCTTCTGGGCAATCATTTTTTGAATGACCATCCTTTTTGCAGATACTGCATACTATCGTTGGTGGCTATACAAAGGTAAAAAAAAAAAATAACCTACTAATCTAATAAACTTTTGGGAAATTTACGACTCAGAAAGCAGATCCAAAAAGAGTATTTTATGTAATTCAATTCTGATAGCCTATGCATTTTGAAGCTTTTTTTTTAAAGTTAATGAAATACAATCAACTTAAACTTTTGGGGGTCAACTACTTTTCTCCCAATGAAAAGACTATAAACAAACAAGTTTAAAAACAAAACAAAACAACTCTGAGCCTGGACACTGTCCCTAAACTTTTTCACTCAAGGGTAGTACTCTACTACTTTGAGTCACAGTGCCACTTCCATATACAATTAAGTTTACCTGAAGAAGTAAGATACAGAAAATAACAGGATATTCAAAGACATAAATTACTTTTTTTTTTTTTTTTGTCTGTCGTGGGGCTTGAACTCTGGGCCTGAGCATTGTCCCTCAGATCTTCAGCTCAAGGTTAGCACTCTACCACTTGAGCCACAGTGCCACTTCCAGTTTTCTGGTAGTTTATTGGAGATAAGAATCTCACAGATACCGGGCACCAGTGGCTCATGCCACTGAGTAGCCTCCTAGCTACTCAGGAGGCTGAGATCTGAGAATCACGGTTCAAAGCCAGCCTGGGTAGGAAAGTCTTCGAGACCCTTATCTCTTACCCAGAAACCGGAAGTAGTGCTGTGGCTCAAGTGGTAAAGCACTAGACTTGAGCTGAAGAGCTGAGGGACAGCACCCAGGCCCAGAGTTCAAGCCCCATGACCAACAACAACATCAAAATATATATACATATATATGTATTTATATATTATATTTTATGTGTACCTTTTATACATACATCCACATATATATATGACAAAGGAAGACCAGTGCTTCTTTTTTCTTTATTATTTCTATAGACTCTAAAATTAAATGTTTTCTTCCAAGGTTAGCTTAGACATTTACATAGCCATAAATCCCTTTTGAGGGGGGAGGGCAGTCATGGGGCTTGAACTCAGGGCCTGGACACTGTTCCTGATCTTCTTTTGTTCAAGGACAGCATTCTACCATTTGAGCTACAGCTCCATTTCCGGTGTTCTGGTGGCTTATTGGAGGTAAGAGTCTCATTGACTTTCCTTCCCTGGCTGGCTTTGAACTGCAATCCTCAGATCTCAGCCTTCTGAGTAGGTAGGGTTATAGGCATAAGCACCACCAGTGCCCAAAGCATTCTTTGGGCTGGGAAGGTAGCTCAGTGGGAGAGTGCTTGTCTTGTATGCATGAGGCCCTGGGTTTGATTCCTCAGCATCACATAACCAGAAAAGGCTGGAGGTGGCGCTGTGGTTCAAGTGGTAAAGTGTTAGCCTTAAACTGAAGAGCTGAGGGACAGCGCCCAGGCACACAGTTCAGCCCGACAACCAACCAACCAAAAAAAATAGTATTCTTTATGAACGGAAAAATATAGAATGGAAATAGATTTTTTAACCTAATTCTTGCTATGTAGCCAAAGCAGGTCTCAAAATCACAATATTCTTGCCTCAAATCTCCTAGATGCTAGAACTACAGGCATGTATCACACTTGTCAAGAAGGGAAATTCTTTGTTATGACAAATAATAAAAATAAAAATTGGTAAACCAGTACTTACCTTAAGGTATAGTTCCAGGGGAAAATAGTACAAATTATAAGAAATATAAACTATAATTACATGATCCTTACATCTTTCTACATACTTGACATTTATTTTACCTTTTCAAAATAGTCCATATGCAATTTAGATAAAATGTAATTAATGTATCCTTATACAGAATGAAATACCCAGGGGGAAAAGAAAAAGAGGAAGACATTGGTCAAAGATTGCAAAAATTTCACTTATACAACAAAAGCAAGTTCTGGGAGATAATCAGACCTGTGATTCACAATACTGAATTAATTCTTAAAAATCTGCCAGTTTGCTGGGTGCCGATGGCTCACACCTGTAATCCTAGCTACCAGGAGTCTGAGATCTGAGGACAGTGCTTTAAAGCCAGCCTGGGCAGGAAAGTCCTGAGATTCTTATCTCCAATAAATCACTAGAAAACCAGAAGTGGTGCTGTGGATCAAGTAGTAGAGCACTAGCCTTGAGTTGAAGAGCTCAGGGACAGTACCCAGGCCCAGAGTTCAAGCCCCATGACTGACCCCCCCAAAAAAAAAAAGCTTTTAAAAAAGAAACGTTTACTAATAAAGCTAAAAATTCCAAAACTTGCCATTAAGTAATTATCAATAAAACTGGTCTTCTAAACAGCTTTTTTTGATTTTTTAAAATTTCTTTTCAGGGCTTATATGCAGTCTAAGTATTTTTTGGTACTTGTAATACATTTAAAATAATGTGAATTAACTAAAACTTTCCTGCAATAGCAAAGCAGATTATTGGATTAGGGGAATGATTGAAGTGGTAGAGATGTGTTTAGCAAGTGGGAAATATGAGTTCATACCTCATGGGGGCAAGAGAGAGGTAGTAGTTACTGTTTATTTATTGCTCATTGGTAGTATTTTCTGTAACTTAAAAAGTTAAAAGTACAGAATAACCCACTTTGAAAGTAGAAAACATAATTCTAGTAAAGGATAATACAAACTATAAAGAAAACCAATGGTGGAGACAGAATCTGGACTATTCTTTTTTGGGTTCTACATTCCTGATCTTACCTTTCGTCAACCATGATTTAGTACAATGTTTCCACCAACACCAAAATTTTTTTTTTAAATGAGAAAGAGCAGCAGCAAAAGAAGCAACAGATTAAATTGCATACTATTAGAATATAAAATTTCATCTTTTTAGAAGTATGTGAAAAAATAAAGAGAAGAGACCAATTTAGTCTTTGCTAAGTAGATATTCATAAAACAACTAATAATCTTGAAACTTATTAGTGATTTATATACCTTATTTAATGGCAACTGCAGGGAAAATGCAAAAATAAAAGATAACAAAATATCATTCTAAAACAAGTTATCACTGCAGAAGCTATTTTTACCCTTATAGATCTAAAACTCAGTAGCCACAAAATATTTAATTATTTATAAACTACATCCTACCTTGCCAGAGGTTAAAATAAACTTATCAAATACATAATGTAATTCCTGGGAGGGGTGATTATCATCATCATTAAGGTCAAAAGTAACTTCTGTAGCTTTGCAGTTGCAAGAGGTAGTAGTTATGTCGGTGCATACAATCTGATGTGAACTCTTTGTTTCTAAATTTGACCTGCAGTCCACTGTAGTAGATTTGTCTGGGTCAGGGGACCCACTGCAATTACACTGGCTGAGCTCCTTCTTTAAAGTTTCTGATTTTGGCTCCAATTCACTGTTTTTGCTGACAGTAGAAAGAGAAGATTCCTGTTCATGGTCAGGCAAACTTCGTTCATTTCCCAATAAATTGTCATTGTCAATGTTACATCTCTGTGATGTACTTTCCATTTCATCATATTTATCAGGTTGACCTCTTTCTGTATGTATTTTTTCTGTGCTTTCCCCAAGCAGAATGCAACAGTTGGTTGCCATACTGTCAGACTTCACTGGTTTCTTATTGCTTATTTTCCCTTTCTCTTTTTTCTTGAAATCCACTGTAGACTTATTTCCACCCTTTCTCTGAGGACAGGCAAAATACCGATAAGCTGCCCTGAATCTCTCCACAACGTATTCGTAAACAAGCTGGCTGTTTAAGCTTCGTGCAACATTCCTCTTGACAGAAAATGGATCTAGTAACAAAGAAAACAGTCAGTAGCTAAATCTCCACTTTAAAAAAACTGCATATCCAAGGTTAAACAAACAGATTTGAACTGTTATCACCAGAATACATTTTCCCAATGTTTTGTTAACCTAAGGTCCCAATGAGAGTCCCTAAAAAATGAGCAGGGGAAAAACAACAGCAGTATCTTTTCCTTTGTTTCTTCCATAAATAAAATGATAAAAAAAACAATAAAATAAAACTAATAAACATATAGCTACAATCAATTCAGTAATACATATTTGATGATGAAGTTGCTAGAATTATGCCTCTATGCCTCCATATACATTTTACTGAGTGAAAATTTTTAATCTTGAGGACCCATTAGTAATTTTCATTTCTTGTTAGATTACAACTGATGGTTCTTTATTTTTACTTTTTTATTTTTTTATTGTTATTATACAGGTGATATACAAAGGGGTTACAGTTGCATAAGAGTACATTTCTTTTTGGAAAATGTTGTATCATTCACTCTCTCCCTTCCATCTCAACCCACAAGTTGTATAGTTCATTTTCAACATAGTGTCTAGTGAATACCACTGCTACATTTGTTCACCCATTGTCCCTCCATTTCTTTTCTCCTCTTTACCCTCCCAAAGACAAATAAATGAACAAATAAAAAGAAAACAAAAACAGCAAAGAATCCTCTTGTTTCCATTTCCTAGAGTCCATTTCAACTGATATTCTTGAGATTTAATGGAAAACTTTGTAAACATCAACTGTTTGATTTAGCTTACCACAAGATAAGATTTATAATGTGCATTAGATTGTGTGCCACAAAAAAAACTACTCTAAATGAAATATAACACATCATCTCACCTTCAATGGCTATTCGTCTTTTAGGCCAGTTTTTATTCTCTCTTGTTATAATATCTTGTATTCGTACACATATGACATATTCCTCCAAAGCAAAATCCAGTGTGTAAAATTTTAGCAGCTCTAGCCATAACTGTCCCAAGGATACCTGATTTGGTATTTCCAATGTTAAAGGAGACTGGAAAAGGAAAAAAAAAAAAAACACTTCATTTAAGCTTCACAAAATGGAGAATCAATGAATTTTCCGTTAGAAAATACCTTAGAGAGAATGTTTCCTAAAACTGAGGGATAAAGAAATAAGCCTTTGGAAGTGGTACTGTGGCTCAAGTGGTAGAGTGTAGCCTTGAGCTGAAGAGCTGAGGGACAGTACCCAGGCCCAGAGTTCAAACCCCACGACCGACAAAAAAGGAAAGAAAAAGAAAGAAAGAAAGAGAGAGAGAGAGAGAGAGAAAGGAAGGAAGGAAGGAAGGAAGGAAGGAAGGAAGGAAGGAAGGAAGGAAGGAAGGAAGGAAGGAAGGAAGGAAGGAAAAGAAATAAGCCTGCCAAAAAGCAGTTTTGAGTTCCATTTCCTAGAATTTTAAGTTCTTTTCCACTAAACCATTCCCAGCTTTGACTACACATTACAACATGTTGAGTATTAGAGTGTACTAACACCTGAATTTCACCACTCCCACTTTCCAAGAATCTAATTTAAATGACCTGAGCTACACAATTGGGTACTAGGATTTTTAAAGCTCCATACAGCGATTCCTGTTAACCAACAAGTTCACAAACACCTAGAGAACAAATACTATAGCTCCTTACTACAATACTTACTTTCAAAATTAAATAAATATTCTGAATTTTCAAATATTCCTACAGACAGCAACTGATTCTTCAGAACCTATTAGTGTCCCTGGCGCTATCCTGATGATGTCATAAAACAATGAGAACTGACACACATGCTGCCATACTCACTCTTCTAAGAGCAGAATACATATTAATGAGTCTATGAAGTAGATACCACTGAAAAGAATCCAACTTGATACCATCTGGCTACCTGTTACATGTGGAGAATCACTACACTATAATTCCACTCAAATAAGTTCTACTTTATAAATTATTAGGACAGGGAGAGATAATAATTAAAGGCTACATGGTAAGATGGGGCTCTAAATTAATGGAGTCATAAAACAAAATGCAATGTTTAATTCTAAAGAAATTAGCTAATGACTGATTAAGAGAGACCATGATAAAGGCATAAATTAGCTATAATTAATTCAAACTATTCATCAGATACTACTATTTACCAGATAATATGCTACAAACTTGGGATTTATCTTTGATAAGCAAAGATTCTTGTCTCTATAAGCTCCCTTTCCAGAGAAAGATAACACACATAATAAGTAAATTACATAGCTAAGTTACAGAAAGTCCTCTGGGGACCGGGGAAGGAGAGAGAAGAGTAAGATAAAAGGATTAGTAATACAGGAGAAGGAAGTTTATATTGTAAAACTGAGTGATCAGAATCAGATTCTTGACAAAGTATGAACTTAAAAAAAAAAAAAAAGAGGAAGTAGCGCTGTAGCTCAAGTGGTAGAGCGCTCGCCTTGAGCTGAAGAGCTGAAGGACAGCGCCCAGGCCCAGAGTTCAAGCCCCACGACCGACAAAAAAAAAAAAAAAAAAAAGAGGGACTGGAAGGTGGCTTAGTGGCCCTGGGTTTGATTCCTCAGCAAGACATAAACAGAAAAAGCCAGAAGTGGCACTGTGGCTCAAGTGGTAGAGCACTAGCCTTGAGCAAAAGCAGCTCAGGGACAGTGCCCAGGCCCTGAGTTCAAGCCCCAGGATGAGAGACAGAGACAGAGACACACAGAGAGAGAGAGAGAGAGAGAGACAGACAGAGAGAGACAGAGACAGATAGAGAGACAGACACAGAGAGAGAGAGAGAGACAGAGAGACAGAGAGAGAGAGAGAGAGAGAGAGAGAGAGTGTTAAGGAAATGGGGAACAAATAAAAACATAATGTCTAGCTTTAAGTAAGTGGTAGAAAAGGAAAAGAGCCAGCTAGCAAGCAGCAACTAAAGCACCTTGAGTGTATAAGGAGAGAAAGGTATGATCTGACTTAATTTTCAGGGCAACCATTTAGTTAATTGTATTATTGAGAATGGATTATTATGAGGGGAAAGTTCAATGAAGTATTTTTTAGAAGACTGCAGCAGTAATCCAAGCAAGAAATGATGGTGACAAGGACCAGGAAAGTATGATAGAAGTAGCAAGAAGTGATCAGATTTTGGATATATTTTGAAGCAGAGATATATCCAGAATACGTTCATGAACTTCATGCTCAATTAAGAGAGGTTTTAATTGAATAGCTAAAATGAGGGAGTAATACCAACTGAGATCAGAAAACTTTATTTCAAACAAGTGTAAAAGAAGACTAAACACATGTAGTTTTAAGATATTTAAAAGAAACCAAGCAGGACGGGTGCCAGTGGCTCACACCTGTAATCCTAGCTACTCAGGAGGCTGAGATCTGAGGATCGAGGTTCAAAGCCAGCCCAGGCAGGAAAGTCCGTGAGACTCTTATCTCCAATAAAGCACTAGAAAACTGGAAGTGTGGCACTGTGGCTCAAGTGGTAGAGCACTCACCTTGAGCTGAAGAGTGCAAGAACAGCGGCCTAGCCCAGAGTTCAAGCACCATGACTGACAAAAAAAAAAAAAAAGAGGGGCTGGGAAGGTGGCTCAGTGGTAGAATGCTTGCCTTGCATGCATGAGGTCCTGGGTTCGATTCCTCAGCACCACATCAGCAAAAAGAAAAAAAGCCAGAAAGTGACATTGTGGCTCAAGTGGTAGAGCGTTAGCCTTGAGCTGAAGAGTTGAGGGACAGTGCCCAGGCCCAGAGTTCAGGCCCCACAACCGGACCCCAAAAAAAAAAGAAAGAAAGAAACCAAGCAGCTATATATACTATTGTGGAGTTCAAGAAAGAGAACAGATTATAGATTTAAATTAAGAGTCTTTATCATATGGTACTAAAAATCCAAGCACTTACATAGGATTACCATACAAATGAAGACATAATCAGAAAAAAAGGGTTCATGGACCAAACCCTGTAGCACTTCAACATCAAGCAACTGAGAGAAAGAAGAAACCAGCAAACAAAACTGAGGGAAAAAAATGAGCATCTATGGGAGTGGTGGCCTGAAAATCAGTGAACAAATTTTTTTTAGAAGAAAGTAATCAACTGGCAAATGTTACTAAACTTAAAAAGATAAAAACTGGCTGGGTATTAATGGCTCATGCCTATAATCCTAGCTTCTCAGGAGATTGAGATGTGAGGATCACAGTTCAAAGCCAGCTGAGGCAGGAAAAATCCATGAGACTCTTATCTCCAATAAATTACTAGAAAAACAGAAGTGGCACTGTGGCTCAAGTGGTAGAGCACTAGCCTTAAGCTAAAGAGCTCAGGCCCCAAATTCAAGCCCCATAACCGACAGTAACAACAAAAGATAAAAAGTAGCTGTGAATGTGTCTTAGTGGTAGAGTGTTTGCCTAGCATGCATGAAGCCCTGGATTCAATTCCTCAGTACCACATAAACAGAAAAAGCCGGAAGTGGTGCTATGGCTCAAGTAGTAGAATGCTAGTCTTGAGCAAAAGAAGCTCAGGGATAGTGTCCAGGCCCTGAGTTTAAGCCCGAGGACTGACAAAAAAGACAGATAGTTAGATGGATGGATGGATGAATGGATGGACAAACAAAGACAGACAGACAGATAAAAACTGCCTAGCGGCCACTGAATTCAACAATCTGCACTTTATTAATATTGCTGATATCATTTTAGCAGATTGCTAGTGTTAGTGAGACACAGAAAAAAACAGGAGTAATAAACACAGATTTTCCAAGTAGTTTTATTGCAAAGAGGAACAAAGGAATAGCTGGGGGGAGGGATTACAAGTTTTTTCCTTAAAATTGGAGATTAAAAGTATTATCTGATTCAATAAAGAATGAAATATATCTAGGTGCCAATGGCTCACGCCTGTAATCCTAGCTACTCATGAGGCTAAGATCTGAGGATCATGGTTCAAAGCAAGCCCAGGCAGGAAAGTCCATGAGACTCTTATCTCCATAAACCACCAGAAAACCGCAAGTAGCACTGAGGCTCAAAGTGGTAGAGCATTAGCTTTGAATGAAAAAGCTCAAGAATGGCATCCAGGGCCCGAGTTCAAGCCTACGACCAATAAAAGAAAAAGAATGGAAAATAGGAAGGAAGGAAGGAAGGAAGGAAGGAAGGAAGGAAGAAAGGGAGGGAGGGAGGGAAGGAGGAAACCATTATTATAAAAAGAAGGAAAGAGAGTTAGGAAGGAAGATAATATTGTTGGAATGACATCCTGTTATAGAAAAGAGGGGCTAGGACTGAATACACAATTGGAGAAAAAGACCAAATCATAAAATCAGGAATAGCTAGGAGCCAGTGGCTCAAGCCTGTAATTCTAGCTACTCAGAAGGCTTGAGACCTGAGGATTATAGTTCAAAGCCAGCCCAATCAGGAGAGTCCATGAGACTCTTATCTCTACCAGAAAACTGGACATGGTGCTATGGCTCAAGTGGTAGAGCGCTCGCCTTGAGCTGAAGGGCTCAGGGACAGTGCCCAGGTCCAGAGTTCAAGCCCCACAATCAAAGGAAAAAAAAAAAAAGCAGGTACAAGGTGTAAGAGCAGATGATGGTAAAAGAGGGAGAAGTAAATGGAGTGAAGAAGTACATCCTGGGATCCACAAATAATTCAGTGAATGGTTTCAGAAATGTTCAGATTTCTATAATAATATACTTGTCTATTCAGAAAACTATTAACTTTTTATTGCTCAGTGAATTTCCCTGATTTTTAAAATAATTTATTGTTATTATAGAGGTGATGTACAGAAGGATTACACTTACATGAGTCAGGTAATGAATACATTTCCTTTCATACAGTGTCTTCTGTTCCCTCACTATATATAAACTGCTAAAGAACAAAATTCATATATATTTATTATAGTTCTCTAGCACTAAAGTAAATGACTGACATAAGCAAGCCACCCCTTCCCAGAGCAAAAGGGCTTAGTTCTCTACCCAATCTGACAACATAATACTCATATGCTAACATTCTGGTCCGAGTCTAACTCTTAAATGAAATTTTCCTTGTTTAAATTTTTAAAATTACAATAAATTGCCTTGAAATGATTGAAACAATACAAGTCTTACAAAAGGAACTATAAACTCTTTAGAGAATCTCAGTATTGAAAAGCTAAACCAGATCAATCTCTCACTTTAGAGATAAGGAGGAAAATGAGGTCATAAGGTACCACAATTTCCATACATTAAAGAGCCTCCCGCTGCACACACCCCTCCCAAAAAATGCTTACTTTGCCATGTTTTTCCTTCATGGCGTAACTTTGGTTGTCTGTTTCTGTCTTCTTGGTATCATCTTTTGGTTGTTCTGCCTTAGCTTTGTTTTCATCAGTAATTGAGTTTTTCTCAGTTGCACTACTTGAATTATATTCCCATTTCACAAATTTGTCTTCTACTATGCCTTTCAGCTGAAAGTCATCCATTCTTTTGGGGTCAAAGCCTTCAATCTATAAAAAGGCATTCCAAATTGGCAATTGAAAAATTATTTTTAAAAAAGAGAAGTTGAGACAATGTAGGATTCGACCTTAAAATGTGTGAGCAGAGCACTTTGCAAGAGCACTCTACATATTCACATGCATATACATGCATACATGCACAGATAATTTCAACAAACTTATTCTTACCCAACTTCCAAGTAAGCAAGGAAGAAGAGGGGGTTTTCTTTGTTGTAAAAAGAACATCACCATTAAAGCAAAACAGTAAGACGGGATTCCACCATCAGTTTGGGAGTCAATATAGCACAACTGCAAAATCAAAAGAACAAAGTACTAGGATTTAGTTTTCTGCAGCTTTCATAATAAAAAGCAGCCTGGGTTTATAACCATTATAAAAACTTACTAATTAAAACTATTAGGAGTATTATGAAATCCCTCCTCTGATAGAAAACTATTAACTTATTAGTGACTAACTTTCCATTTATTACTTTATGTAAAAAAATATACAAACATACTTTAGTTAAATGTAAGTATATAGAGTGCTTCACTCTCACTGTTAGCAACTTTCTATATACTCGGCCATGCCTTCTATTAAATTTAAACAATACATTCTATTTTATATACCATTTGCTTGTCATTATTTTTATAAAAATAGTGCATTATAGACATCTCCCTATGTGGGGCTGGGAAGGTGGCTCAGTGGTAGAGCGCTTGCCTTGCATGCATGAGGCCCTGAGTTCAATTCCTCAGCACCACATAAGCAAAAAGAAAAAAAGCCAGAAGTGGTGCTGTGGCTCAAGTGGTAGAGCGCTAGCCTTGAGCTGAAGAGCTGAGGGACAGTGCCCAGGCCCAGAGTTCAGGCCCCACGACTGGACACCAAAAAAAAAAAAAAAAAAAAAAAAAAAAAAGACATCTCCCTATGTATTACTCTTCTCCCTTCGCAATATATCAAAAAGGTTCCTCTAAATCAATTAGCACAAATCTAACACATTCTTTTTATTTGACTATACTTTGTTTTGTTTTTGGTAGTTTGAACTCAGGGCCTTGGCATTGTCCCTGAGCTCTTTTTGCTCAAGGTTAGCACTCTACCACTTTGAATCACAGTGCCACTTCCAGTTTTATGGTATTAACTGGAGGTGAGATTCTCAAGAAAATTCCTGACTAGGCTTGGTTTTGAACTGTGATCCTCAGAACTCAACCTTCTGAGTAGCCACAAGCACTTGGCTTTGGTTTTAGTATATTCTTTTTTTTTTTTTGGTGGGTCATGGGGCCTGAACTCTGGACCTGGGTGCTGTCCCTCAGCTCTTCAACTCAAGACTAGTGCTCTACCACTTGGGCCACAGTGCCACTTCTGGCTTTTTCTGTTTCTGTGGTACAGCACCACTTTGGGTTTTCTCATGGCTTATTAGAGATAAGAGTCTCATGGCCTTTCCTGCCTAGGCTGACTTTGAACTGTGATCCTCAGATCTCAGCCTCCTGAGTAGCTAGGATTACAGGCATGAGCCACCAGTGCCCAGCTAGCACATTCCTTTAAGTGGCTAATTTATAGTTTATGACCTGAGGGTTACTCAAGCAGTCAAGAACAGTGACATTTAGTTCTTAATTTCTATCACTTCAGGGCTGGGAAGGTGGCTCAGTGGTAGAGCACTTGCCTTGCATGCCTGAGGCCCTGGGTTCAATTCCTCAGCACCACATAAGAAAAAAGAAAAAAAGCCAGAAGTGGCACTGTGGCTCAAGTGGTAGAGCGCTAGCCTTGAGCTGAAGAGCTGAGGGACAGCGCCCAGGCCCAGAGTTCAGGCCCCATGACCGGACCCAAAAAAAAAAAAATTTCTATCACTTCAAATAATGCTGCAATATTTTTAACACAAACTACCCAAGTACTGTAGCACTTCTCTTACTTTCTTTCCTTCCTTTCTTTCTTTCTTTTCTTTTTTCTCTTTTCTTTCTTCCAGTTTTTTCTTCTGGTTTTCTGGTAGTTAACTAGAGATAAAAGTCTTATGGACTTTCTGGCCTGGACTGGCTTTGAACTATGATTCACAGATCTCAGCCTCCTGAGTAGCTAGGATTACAGGCATGAGCCACCAGCAGCATTTATTTCTATTAGCTGTGTTGCCAGGAATGCACTTACTCAATTTTTAAGATATACATGTTTTTTTAAATTCTGATAAATACTGTGAGATCTTCCAAAAATCACAGAATTTCTCTTTTCTGTTCTCTACTAACATACTACATACACACAAACTTTCTAACACTATGTATTGAAACTGTCAAACAGTAAGATTTTAATATTTCATAGGTACTTCAATTTGAATATCCTTGACTATGAGATTATGCAATTTTCATACTATTTATCAACTATCTAAATTACTCGAGCTAGGATTACAAATATGTACCATCTTGCCCAGCTTAATGAAATCTTACAGTAGTGAAGGAGGCTCCCATTCACTGATCTTCACTTCTTGAATTCTTTTGGCTATGCCATATATTTTCTTTCCATGTGAACTATAGGAGTGTTTCTGTATTATATACATGAAAATATAAAAAAATGTGTTTTAAGGATATAATCTCCCAATCCAAGAATTTGGTATGCTCACATTTTGAAAATTAAGACTTTTTTTTTTTTAATCTGAGACCGGGACTTAAAACTCTGACACTTTCGTTCATTGGCTGGTGCTCTACTACCTAAGCCACACCTCCAATTCCAACACTTTTCATGCTAGCTTTCCCTCAACTCTCATACTCAATGCATCTACAATTTACCTATGCTTAATTTGCTTCATATACATTCTAATCTAGCAGAAATCATTGTTATATCTGGCTAATGCACCAGACCAGCTTGTTCTTTGGACAACCTATTTCTTCTCCTTTAACCTAAAGGGGTAAATACAGTTATATTTTAAACCTTTGCTGTTTTCTCACTGCCATGAAATATATCCCAATTCTCCACTCCACTACAGAGCTAGATTTCATCTCCCAGAACTTTCACCTTAACTCACTTCATTGTGGTCACTTTTGTATTCTTATGTTACTCAGAAGCTGATTCCTATTTTAGAAGGTTGCAATAGTTCTCCCATGAAAGTTCTTCCATCATTTTTATGTGGCTAGCTACTGCTGGTCTGAATTTAATTATCACTTCCTCAAAGAGACTTTCCTTGACCATCAGCAAAACATACTTCTCTTATCATATCATCTCACTTTTATAGTACTAAACCCTAAAAGATATATTATGCATCTATTTGTTTACTACCTAATTCTTCCAGAAGTAAGCAAGCTTCATGACTTCACAACTTTCTAAGTCTTGTCAGATGTTGGTGGCAGATAAGCATTAACAAATGTTTGCTAAATGGAAAAATGTCTTCAGTATTTCATTTATGCTATTCAATAAGGTAATTTTCTTTCTTTCTTTTTTTTTTTTTTGGTCCAGTGGTGGGGCCTGAACTCTGGGCTTGGGCGCTGTCCCTCAGCTCTTCAGCTCAAGGCTAGTGCTCTACCACTTGAGCCACAGTGCCACTTCCGGCTTTTTTTTTCTGCTTATGTGGTGCTGAGGAATCAAACCCAGGGCCTCGAGCATGCAAGGCAAGCGCTCTACCACTGAGCCACCTTCCCAGCCCAATAATGTAATTTTCTTCCTGTATTTTTCTTACATTTGGACTGCGATAATTACCACTATCTCCAATCCAAAAAAAAAAATGAACACAATGTAACTACAGTTATTAGAAATATAAACTTATGAAGCCCAGTGCTGGTGGTTCATGCCTGTAATCCTAGCTACTCAGAGGAGGCTAAGATCTGAGGATCATGGTTCAAAGCCAGCCTGGGCAGAAAGCCTGTGAGACTCATCTCTAATAAAACACCAGAAAACCGGAAGTGGCGCTATGGCTCAAGTGGTAGAATGCTAGCTTTGAGCTGAAGAGCTCAGGGACAGTGCTTAGGCCCAGAGTTCAAGCCCACAACCGACCAAAAAAAAAAAAAAAATTAATGAGCTAGGAATGTAGCTTAGTGATTGAGTGCTTGCCTAGCATGCATGAAGCCCTGGGTTTGATTCCTCAGTACCACATACACAGAAAAAGCTGGAAATGATGCTGTGGCTCAAGTGGTAGAGGGCTAACCTTGAGCAAAAGAAGCTCGAAGACAGTGCCCAGGCCCTGAGTTTAAGCCCCAGGACAGTCAAACAAAACAAAACAAAACAAAAATCCCAAGAAATATAAACTAAGTCTTACTTAAGAAACTTTGAGGCTGGGAAGGTAGCTCAGTGGTATAGTGCTTGCCTTGCATGCATGAGGCCCTGGGCTCAATTCCTCAGCACCACATAAGCAGAAAAAAAGCCAGAAGTTGTGCTGTGGCTCAAGTGGTAGAGTGCTAACCTTGCGCTGCAGAACTCAAGAACAGTGCCCAGGCCCAGAGTTCAAGCCCCACGACTTAAAAAAAAAAAAAACACACAAAACTTTGATAGTTAATTTTTCAGCTGTTGCCCAGTCAGAAATTGCTCCAGGGTTATACAAATAATTTAAAGAGAATATTCATAGAGATGAGAAAACATATGCAAAGCCTGGCGCCAGTGGCTCAGGCCTGTAATCCTAGCTACTCAGGAGGCTGAGATCTGAGGATCACGGTTCAAAGCCAGCCCGGTAGTAAAGTCTGTGAGACCTTATCTCCAATAAACCACTCAGAAAAGACTGTGGCTCAAGTGGTAGAGCACTAGCCTTGAGCTAAAGAGCTGAAGAACAGTGCCCAGGCCCAGAATTCATGCCCCAAGAACAACAAAAAGGAAGAAAAGAAAACATATGCAACTAAAAAACCTTCAAGCCAGATTTGGTAAGGCATGCCTGTGATACTATCACTTGGGAGGCTGAGACAAGAGAATCACAAGTCTGAGGCTGGCCTGAGCCACACAGCAAATTCAAGGCCAGCCAAGAGCACAGCAAGACACCGCCTCAAAACAAACAAGCAAACCAGCAGAACCTTCACCTTCATGCTTTACCTAAATATGACTATGCCACAGTATTGTGAAATGCATGTAGCCACTTAAAAAGAAATAGTTGGAGAAAAAAAATAAAGCATAAATAAAAAATTTCAGGAATAAATTTAACTGTATTGCAAAAAATGTATTTTATTAGTTATTTTTGTAAATCTCTTACCATGACTTGTATAAGTTAAGCCTTATCATATTATGTAAATAAACAGGAAAAAATATAGTATGCATGTGTGTGCACGCGTACATGTGTGTGTGTGGGGGGGGGGGTTTGTATTTTAGTTCCACCCAAGTTCCCATACACCCACAGGGGGTCTTGGAATGTATCCCATCTGGAACTACTGTAGATCTATAAGTCATTAACTTTTTTTTTCTTGTGCAGATACTGGAGCTTGAACTCAGGACCTAGGCAATGTCCTTGAGTTTTTCTGTTCAAGCTAATGCTTGACCACTACAACCATAGTTCCACTTCTGACTCTGGGGTGTTAACTGGAGATGAATCTCAAGAACTTTCCTGCCGGAGCTGATACATACACGTGTGTATGTGTGCGTGCATGCGTGCTCATGTGTGTGTCTCAGTCCTGGCTAGCCTTCCACCACCTGAGCTGTAGCTGTTTGGTGAATAATTGGAGGCAGGAGTTCATGGACTTTTCTGCTTGGGTTGGCTTTGAATAGTAATGCTCAGATCTCAGCCTCCTGAGTAGCTAGGATTACACGTATGAGCCACCTGCACAGGCTGTATGTTTTTTGTGTGTACTAGTATTGGGGCTCAAATTCAGGGCCTGGTACTCCTGCTTATCTTTTTCACTTTACCAATTGCACCAAACCTTCACTTCCCACTTTTTGCTTTTAGAGAAGAGAGTCTCTTGGATTTGCTTGCCCCAGCTAGCTTACAGTCTTGATCCTCAGATATCAGCCTTCTGAGTAGCTAGGATTACAGGCGTGAGCCACCAGTATACAGTTTAAAACTTTATTTGCACCTGTAATCCTAGCTCCTCAAGAAGCTGAGATCTAAGGATTGCAGTTCAAAACTAAACTGGATGGAAAAGTCCCCATGAGATTCTTTTTTTTTTTTTGGGGGGTCCAGTCGTGGGGCCTGAACCTGGGTGCTGTCCCTCAGCTCTTCAGCTCAAGGCTAGCCCGTTACCACTTGAGCCACAGCGCCACTTCCGGCTTTTTTTCTTTTTGCTTATGTGGTGCTAGGGAACAAACCCAGGGCCTCAGGCATGCAAGGCAAGTGCTCTACCACTGAGCCAAATCCCAGCCCTCCCCATGAGATTCTTATTTCCAGTTAACCACTCAAAAACCAGGAATGGAGCTGTGGCTCGGGTGGTAGAGTGCTAGCTTTGAGCACAAAAAGGCTCAGGGACAGAGCCCAGGCAGTTCAAGCCCCACAACTGACAAAAAAAAAAAAAAAAAACACACCCAGTGAAACAAAACTTTATTTTCATGACCAGAAATTCAAATAACTATTTTCTTCCATGTGCTATGATTTATGTTATATGTCAGTATAAAACAAAAGCTTGATTTATTTTAAGAGTTAGGTACTTTTTATTCTATTCCACTTACCTTAGCCCAATAGCGAAAGGCTAACACCAATGGAGTAAAGACAGGTTCCATTTTGCCAAGAGCAGCAAGTAAATCAGTAGTGAGACATGCCATATCATTTCCTGCACTCACTCTACAAAGTAAACCACTGTGAATGAGAAAGAAACAGTTTCACTGTGTTGAATGATATCTTAAAAAGCAAAATACTTCATGGGGCGCCAATGGCTCATGCCTACAATCCTAACTACACAAGTGGCTCACACCTGCATTCCAAGCACAATTTCTGTGCTAAGAGCTAGTGAGGCCTCCATCTCAATCTAGTAAGTCTACAACACACTAGGAGGCATAGATAGGAAAAATCATCATTCAGGTCAACCATGGGCAATACTGTGAGACACTATTAGAAAAATAACTCAAAAAAGGATTGTGGGTATGGCTCAAGTGTTGAGTGTTTGCTGATTAATCATAATACCCTAAATACTAGAAGGACAAAGGAATACTGTATCCACCACACAAGAGTCAGGTTGCTTCCAGTTCTGATTTTTGTCCTAAGTTATTTACATTTGGACAAATGTTTAACTCTTCCTTGTCTCAAATTTCTAACACAGAAAATAAGGTAGTTGAGCCAGGTGTGGGTGGATCACGTCTATAATCCTACCTACTCAGGAGGCTGAGATCTGAGGATGCCTTCAAAGCCAGCCTGGGCAAGAAAAGTCCATGAGATTCTTATCTCCAATTAATCGCCAGAAAACCAGAAGTGGTGCTGTGGCTCAAGCAGTAGAGCACTTGCCTTGAGCTACAGAGCTGAGGGACAACACCCAGGCCCAGAGTTCAAGCCCCATGGCCAACAGAAAGGAAGGAAGGAAGGAAGGAAGGAAGGAAGGAAGGAAGGAAGGAAGGAAGGAAGGAAGGAAGGAAGGAAGGAAGGAAGGAAGGAAGGGAAGGGAAAATCAAGTAAGCAAACTAGATCCTCATGGATTATTCTAGCTATAGAAAATACGTTAATCTTAAAATTTAAGAAAAACAAAAGCCAGGCACCAATGGCTCACACTTATAATCCTAGCTACTCAGGAGGCTAAGATCTGAGGATCATGGTTCAAAGCCAGCCCGGGTAGGAAAGTCCATGAGACTCTTATCTCCAATAAACCACTAGAAATCAGGAAGTGGTGCTGTGGCTCAAGCAGTAGAGCACTGGCCTTGAGCTGAAAAGTGAAGAGACAGCGCCCAAGCCCAGAGTTTAAGCCCCACCACTCACAAAAAAAAAAAAAAATACAAGTTAGTAATCAATACAATACTTATAATTCTGTATTATTTCTATAACTTCTACATTGATCTCAAATAACTATTTTAGTTTTCTTTATCAACGCACTTTGCCCCCTCAATCCTTTAGACAGCTGACTAGAATGGCAAGATTAATGTCCAATAATTCATTTCAACTTTAGTAAACCAAAAACTACTCTAACAGTGAGATCTTTAACAAGGGAGGCTATTTCTCATTAATATATGTCTGGATTGGTGCAGTTCCTAAATTAATACTGTTGGATGAGTAAGTAAACTTGAGTAAACACTGAAAATTTTGCCTAGAGAATTATATGATACTCCTATTTATTGTTTACCTGTACTTGCTAATGTTTTTTCTTCTCTGACGTGGGGCTTGAATCCAGGGCCTGGGAGCTGTCCCTGAGCAAAATTGCTTAAGGCTAATACTTTACCACTTTGAGCCACAGTTCCACTTCTTTTTTTTTTCTTTTTTTTCTGTAGTTCGTGAGGCTTGAACCCTGGGCCTGGGTACTATCCCTCAGCTCTTCAGCTCTAGGAGGGTGCTGTACCACTTGAGCCAAAGTGCCACTTCCAGTTTTGTGGTGGTTTATTAGAAATAAGAGTTTCGGGCTGGGAAGGTGGCTCAGTGGTAGAGCGCTTGCCTTGTATGCATGAGGCCCTGGGTTCGATTCCTCAGCACCACATAAGCAGAAAGAAAAAAGCCGGAAGTGGTGCTGTGACTCAAGTGGTAGAGCTCTAGCCTTGAGCTGAAGAGCTGAGGGCCAGCACCCAGGCCCAGAGTTCAGGCCCCACGACCGGACCCAAAAAAAACAAACAAACAAAAAAAAAAAAGAAATAAGAGTTTCACAGACTTTCCTGTCCTGGCTCGATTTGAACCATAATCCTCAGATCTCAGCCTTCTGAGTAGCTAGGATTACAGGCATGAGCCACTGATGCCTGACCACTTCCAACTTTTTTGAGTGGCTAAATGGACATAAGAGTCACAGAATATGAGGACAACATGATACCTTTTCTCCCCTTGGTGGCTTCAAATCGCAATCCTCGTATTTCCTGAGTAGCTAGAATTACAGGCATGAGCTACTGGCACCTGGAGGCTTGCTATTTTTAATGAACAGAAAACAGCTATCAACTAACAAGATAGAAATCTAAAAATATTTTCTCTGGAAATGTTCACTTCAAGTTTGGTTTTTTAGATTTTTTTTTAAGAAATATTTCTCAGCTGGGAATGTGGCTTAGTGGTAGAGTACTTGTCTAGCATGCATGAAGCCCTGGTTTAATTCCTCAGTACCACATAAACAGAAAAAGTCAGAAATGGTGCCGTGGTTCACGTGGTAGAGTGCTAGCCTTGAGTAAAAGAAGCTCGGGGACGGTACCCAGGTCCTGAGTTCAATCCCCAGTACTGGTAAACACACACACACACACACACACACACACTAAACACACACACACACACAAACACACACACACGTCTCTTCACTGTTACCAACCTTTTGCGATCCTTGCACACCACAACAGGAACTTTAGCATGAAAGTCAGATTCCACATCTATATATAATACTGAAGGGAAAGAAAAGTAAGCTAATGTCAACATCTCTAAAGAACTTATTTAATAGTTAAGCAGCAGTTTCCTTCTAAATGTCACTCTCAGTTCTGTGGGATAATCCACCCTTCCCATTTGCATCAAGCTCTCTTAGTGTCATTTGTTGTATAACACAAACCATAGGTACAGTCCCAAATACTGCCTGAAAATTACAATCATCTTAAGAAGAAAGGCTTTAATTAACATCCCTGAAAGTTGCAATATTTCCAAGTAAGCATATAAGTTCTTAATACTTCCCTAAAATAGCAAAGAAAGGTTACTACTTACTTCTGAGGATTATTTCCATAGGAACCACAAATGCGGACCTATCATGTTTGCAGTTTAATGCTTTCAGATGCTAATGCTGATAGCCTAATTTCCTGTTAATGAAGTGTTCCTAATACAAATGTCAAGGAAGACCTACCACGAAGAAGCACTTTTACAACTTAAGTCTTTTTCTATAGGCCTTATACTATATTGAATAAAGATAGATGGATTAACATTATTTAAATAAAAACAGAAGGACTTTTTTTTCTGCCAGTCGTGGGGCCTGAACTCTGGGCCTGAGTGCTGTCCCACAGCTCTTCAGCTCAAATGAGCCACAGTGCCACTTCCGGCTTTTTCTGCTTATGTGATGTTGAGGAATCGAACCCAGGGCCTCATGCATGCAAGGCAAGCACTCTACCACTAAGCCACCTTCCCAGCCCATATTATTTCGTTTGAAATGATGGAATCTCAAAGTACTTGCTAGAATTGTTCATTTTTTTTAAAAGTGCTGGAGACCTATGTCACATTTTTCTATTTTTTTAATTTTTTGCCAGTCCTGGGGTTGAACTCAGGGCCTGGGCACTGTCCCTGAGCAACATTTTGCTCAAGGCTAGCACTCTACTACTTGAGCCACAATGCCACCTCCAGCCTTTTCTGTGTATTGGTGCTGAGGAATCGAACCCAGGGTCTCACATATGTGAGGTAAGCGCTCCACCACTGAGCCACATTCCCAGCCTCCTGTCAAACTTAATATGCATGGTGGCTATGTCAATGAAGAAGCACAAAGGGCTCAATGAGGATCTGGAACACAAATATAGAATAAAAATAAGGGCTGGGAAGGTGGCTCAGTGGTAGAGTGCTTGCCTTGCATGCATGAAGCCCTGGGTTTGATTCCTCAGGACCACATAAGCAGAAAAAGCTAGAAGTGGTGCTGTGGCTCAAGTAGTAGAGCGCTAGACTTGAGCTGAAGAGCTGAGGGACAGCGCCTAGGTCCAGAGTTCAGGCCCCATGACAGACAAAAAAAAAAAGAAGGAATAAAAATGTTGTAGATTACAGGTCTGTAGAGAAACAATGAAGATATAAAGGCATAATTTTAAATAAAATTGTTTTATAAACTTATATGACTTGATGATCCACTAATGTATTTTAGTGGAGAAAGGATGTATTTTTAAAGTTATGACACCAAGTAAGTCTAAAGAGGTAAAAGCTGTATCTGCCTCTTATCTATAACATACATTAAAGCTTCTGTGTAGTTAGAAGTAAGTATTTATTAATGAAGAAAGCTATATTAAAAAAAACTTTGCAGCACAAACTATATCAAACTCATTCCCTACAAACTCATTTCCCAGGATAATGGACAACAGGAAGTACTAACAGTTGATAGGGCTGATAGGCAAAAAGCAAAAGGACTTCAGAATTAACATTAGAATCCATGAAAAAATAAAGCCTTAAAAATATGCTATCTTAGTGGATGTTAAATCCAAAACGTAAGGTGATATGACAAAATTAACAAGGCTTAAGAAAAAAAGGATTTCCACTCATCTGGTCGAATCAGTATTGAATAACCCCATGCTGCTGATCATATATATGGTATATATGTATACACGGGAGGAAAACCGGGAGGAGGACACAGAACTAGAGGGAATCAGGGAAAAACATACAGCAGCGGGACCCATCCACTGTACTGGACATTGATCAAAATGAACTAAGCAACTCAATGGCAGCGATAGGAGGGAAGGAACGAGTAGGAAACAGGGAACAGCTGACGCTATGCAAAACAAAAGAAATGTACATATCACCCAATGTGGAAGAAATAATTGTATTGTCAAAGCTTAGAGAACTCATGTTATAGACCACGATAAACAATTTGCCCCATGAAAGTTAGAACATGTTTGTGACTAACTAAGCATCACTATCTCACAATACTGTAGAAATTTGGGAAATTATGTAATCACTTAATCACAATAAAGAGTTTGAAAAGAAAAAAAAAATGCTATCTTTCTAACCAAATTGCAAATGTTTTTGCCAGGTAAAGTATCTGGCATGAAGCTTAGAACAATTAAAAAAAAAAAAAACTAAACTATTAAAGAATAGGCACTGGTGACTCATGCCTGTAATCCTAGCTACTCAGGAGACTGAGATCTGAGGATTGCAGTTCAAAAACCAGCCTAGGCAGTCTGTAACTCTTATCTATAATACACTACCAAAAAGCCAAAAGCCCTACTACGGGTACGAAAAATATTTTTTAATTAAATGAAAAAATAAAAGGAAAAATAGACGAAGGTATGATAAAGTGATATAGCTCCTGCCAGGCAAGCACAAAGCCCTATATTCAAACTCTAGTACAGATTTTTTAAAAAAACATATTATTACCATAAAACAGTTGAGAACATTGAAATAGTAACACTGAAATCACATGTAGAACATGGCAAAATTAAAGTCTGAGCCTGAAAGTCTGGATACTGATCCTGAGCTCTCAATATTGACTTTATAACAAGAAAAGCAGGGCTGAGTTTGTTGTTCAGTTCTTGCTTGTCTAGCACACATGAGGGCTTGGGTTCTAACAACAGGGGGAGGGAGGAGGAGAGGTAGAGATAGAAGAAAGGAGAATAGGAAAGAAATAAAAATCAAGAAATTACAAATTGATAATATATGATCATGGCTTAGTTTGAAGCATCAATTGTTTTGTTTTGTTTTGTCTTGTTTTACCTCTATGAATGTCTTGTTTAGAAATGCAATCCAGGTAAGGCACATAGGAAACATCTACTAGGTATGACTCCTAATGTAATATAAATGATTAAATTAGATTAATATCACTATTTTAAGATAAGAAAAGCCTGTTTAACAAATGCATTTTAATTCCATATCTCTCCCTAGCCTTCCTTCATCAATGACTTCTTAATGACTATAAGTTTTCTTGTATTCCTTAGTACGTGAAATACCTGTAACACCATAGTCCCTTCTTACCTGCAAGACCGTTTGCAACCACAGATACCAATAACCTTATAAATATTCGTTTTTTCCTAATCATATACATCCTTGATAAAATTTAATTTATAAAATGGACACAGTAAGAGATTAACAACAATAATTGCAGTAAAATAGAACAATTATAACAACATAATAAAAGTTATATAAATGTGGTCTCTCTTTGTGCATGTTACTGCAACAGATGGACCAATAATCTGATAAACAAGACAGGTACTAAATAATAGGTGAGTGGCTATGCAGAATGATATAATTTTAAACTTATGAATTATTTATGTGTTTCACTTAGTAATTTTAGATTGTGGTTGATTGTAGGTTAAATGAAACTACAAAAAGCAAAAGTGTGAGATAAAACTAAAGATAAAAGGAAACGTTGGGGCTGGGAAGGTGGCTCAGTGGTAGAGTGCTTGCCTTGCAAGCCAGAGGCCCTGGGTTCGATTCCTCAGCACCACATAAGCAGAAAGAAAAAAGCCCGAAGTGGCGCTGTGGCTCAAGTGGTAGAGCGCTAGCCTTGAGCTGAAGAGCTGAGGGACAGCGCCCAGACCCAGAGTTCAGGCCCCACAACTGGACCCCCCCCCAAAAAAAAAAAAGATAAAAGGAAACGTGGGGCTGGGAAGGTGGCTCAGTGGTAGAGTACTTGCCTTGCAAGCCAGATGCCCTGGGCTCGATTCCTCAGCACCACATAAGCAGAAAGAAAAAAGCCCGAAGTGGCGCTGTGGCTCAAGTGGTAGAGTGCTAGCCTTGAGCTGAAGAGCTGAGGGACAGCGCCCAGGCCCAGAGTTCAGGCCCCACAACTGGACCCAAAAAAAAAAAGATAAAAGGAAACGTGGGGCTGGGAAGGTGGCTCAGTAGTAGAGTACTTGCCTTGCATACATGAGGCCCTGGGTTAAATTCCTCAGCACCACATAAGCAGAAAAAGCCAGAAGTGGCATTGTGGCTCAAGTGGTAGAGCACTAGCTTTGAGCTGAAGAGCTGAGCTGAGGGACAGTGCCCAGACCCAGAGTTCATGCCCCACGACTGGCAAAAAAACAAAAACAAAATAAAAAAAAAAAAAAAAAAAAAAAAAAAGGAAACGTGTAAGCCCTAGCAACTCACATCTGTAATCCTAGCTACTCAGGAGGCTGAGATCTGAGGATCCTGGTTCAAAGCTAGCCCAGACAGGAAAGTCCGTCAGACTCTTATCTCCAATTAACCAACAAAAAACCGAAAGTGGCACTATGGCTCCAGTGGTAGAGCGCTCACCTTGAGCTGAAGAGCTCAGGGATAGCGCCCAGGCCTAGAGTTCAAGCCCCATGACCAACAAAAACAAAAAAGGAAACTTGTATTAAAAGCTAATATATTTTAGTTTTGAAGTACAGTAGCCTTTTTAAATTTGACAAGCTTTTTTTTTTGTTGTTGTGGGGCTTGAATTCTGGGCGTCAGCGCTGTTCCCCAGCAATTTTGCTAGTATTCTGCCAATTTGAGCCAGAGCGCTACTCCCAACAATTTTTTAAATTATTAATTACAGTAGCTTTGACCTAACCAACAGATAAACCATATGGTTGATATACTTAGCAAATATAATGAACATACATATATCTGTCCATATGCAATTAGCAAAGATTAAAACATTCTAGCAGTTTTAACTCTAATTTGGTTAAACATATTAGCATATATGCCTTTAAAAAGACAAAAAAAAAAGAAGGAAAAAAGAAACTCACCACTTTTTTTCAAAATTCCAAGCACTTGTATCAGAAGGTCTGGATGATTCATCTAAAAAGTTTAAGACTAAATTAACATACAAATTTTTAAGTAGAAGTAATAGATCATTTAAGAATATTCAATCTTGGGGCTAGGAAGGTGGCTCAGTGGTAGAGTGCTTGCCTTGCATGCATGAGGCCCTGGGTTCGATTCTCAGCACCACATAAGCAGAAGAAAAAAAAAAAAAAACCGGGCGCTGGTGGCTCACGCCTGTAATCCTAGCTACTCAGGAGGCTGAGATCTGAGGATCGCGGTTCAAAGCCAGCCTGGGCAGAAGAGACCGTGAGACTCCTATCTCCAATAAACCACCAGAAAACCGGAAGTGGTGCTGTAGCTCAAGTGGTAGAGCACTCACCTTGAACTGAAGAGCTGAGGGACAGCGCTCAGGCCCAGAGTTCAAGCCCCACGACCAACCCAAAAAAAAAAAAAAAAAGCCAGAAGTGGCCCTGTGGCTCAAGTGGTAGAGCACTAGCCATGAGCTGAAGAGCTGAAGGACAGCGCCCAGGCCCAGAGTTCAGGCTCAAAGACCGGGAAAAAAAAAAAGAACGTTAAAGTATACTATTTAAACTACTATTTAAAAGTATTCAATATCCTTATGCCAGTGGCTCATGCCTATAATTTCTAGCTACTCACAAGGTTGAGATCTGATAATCCAGATTTGAAATGAACCCAGAGAAGCAAGTCTGAGAGATAATTCTTTGTTTTGTTTTGATTTTTTTTTTTTGGGGGTTCGGTCGTGGGGCCTGAACTCTGAGCCTGGGCGCTGTCCCTCAGCTCTTCAGCTCAAGGCTAGCGCTCTACTACTTGAGCCACAGAGCCACTTCTGGCTTTTTTTCTTTTTGCTTATGTGGTGCTGGGGAATCGAACCCAGGGCCTCAGGCATGCAAGGCAAGAGCTCTACCACTGAGCCACCTTCCCAGCCCTGAGAGATAATTCTTATTTCCAATTAATTAGCAAAAGGCTAGAGATGGAGGCATTGCTCAAATGGTAGAGCAAGCAAAAAGCCAAGCAAAATCATGAGGCCTAGAGTTCAAGCCCCTGCAGCATCATACATACATACATATATACATATATACACACACATTTAATAACCATACATTAATAGTAAAGTAAAAACACCAAATTTTTACCTAAATCAATCATACTTGAACATATTTTTTAAATTTAAACATAAAATTATGAATAAGCAATGTTAGCAGTACAAACATTACAATATTGTTGATAACTGTATAACTCCTACTAAAAGTATTCATCGGGCTGGGAAGGTGGCTCAGTGGTAGAGTGCTTGCCTTGCATGCCTGAGGCCCTGGGTTCAATTCCTCAGCACCACATAAGCGAAAAGAAAAAAAGCCAGAAGTGGCCCTGTGGCTCAAGTGGTAGAGTGCTAGCCTTGAGCTGAGGGACAGCGCCCAGGCCCAGAGTTCAGGCCCCATGACTGGACACCCCCCCCCCCCAAAAAAAAAAGCAATCATCATTCCCAGGCACTATATATCTATTGTGTGTGTGTGTGAGAGAGAGAGACAGACAGACAGAGACAGAGAGAGAAAGAGAGAGAGAGGCAGACAGGCAGACAGGCAGACAGACAGACAGACAGTCTCTGTATATCTGTGTGTCTGACCTCATTTACTATTTTTTATCCCTCTTTTGGAAATGATACAACTGAGGCTCAGGAAGGTTAAGTATCTTGTTCTTTGCAGCCTAGATTTCAACCAAGGCTGTCTTGTTTCAAAACTTTTCCACTTTGTATACTGGCTCATCAGAAGTAAGAACCATTCAACATGCTCAAATATAAGCACTTTATCCTTTTATTATCTTCCTTTTCTGCTTTCTTTCACTTAGACTTGAAATTTCCAAAAGCATTCTTAAAGTCATGATCTTAATACTGCAAAACACAGTTTTCTATATTGCGCTACCCACTTCTCTAAAAATACTGCCCATTAAAATTTAAGAACTAAATAAGAAACACACAGGGAAGGTTTGTTCCTACTTACCTTGGAAGGAAATTTTATATCTATATTAACATCACTACTTTTCAAAGCAAACTTAGTCAGAGAAGAGCCATACAACCTAAGGGAACATTCTGGAACAAAGGAAAAATACAAAAAGCATGAAACTGTGTCAATAGGTATAATATAAAATATAGGAAAACTTCATATACTTTATGTATTTGATTTTATTTCTAATACTGATTTTTTTCTAATATTGATTTGTTCGATAAATATATAAAACAATAAAATATATATAACAATAAAATATATAAAACAATAAAACATTCCCAATTACAGGGTACAGGATCAGAGAGGAGAAATTCTCATAAAACTTTTAGTATTCAAGTGAATTTTTAGTAATAATTCATTTAGATATGACTGAGAACATATTTGACATTCAATTTATAACTAATAAATGTACTAACCTAGCTACAGCTATTGACAACACCTGTGTTTATTTTCAGATACTTACATGAGATAAAGCATTGAATGGGAAAGTCAACATAAACACTATTAAAACACTCTTAAAAGGACAAAGTGAGGCCAAATCAACTGATATTTCAAATCTAAACCACAAAAATGCTATAGGCTCTGAAGAATTCATAAAAGAATTCATATCTTTCTCAAATTATGAGAAGTGTTATTTTGAAAATAATGAAATAATATATTTAAACAGTCTTATCAAAGGCTATGACTGGTACTGATTGGTAGGCTTACTTTCTTAGAAATTTTTTTTTTGGGGGTGGGGGGTCCGGTCGTGACTCTGGGTCTGGGCGCTGTCCCTCAGCTCTTCAGCTCAAGGCTAGCGCTCTACCACTTGAGCCACAGCGCCACCTCCAGCTTTTTTCTTTTTGCTTATGTGGTGCTGAGGAATCGAACCCAGGGCCTCAGGCATGCAAGGCAAGCGCTCTACCACTAAGCCACCTTCCCAGCCCCACTTTCTTAGAAATCTTAAAATGTTCATTTACAAAGTATCTAAAAGTCATTAAAATCATAAAAATTACATATCTAATCTAATAATAGTATTTAATTATTTTATAATACAAACTAGGATTCAACTGATTATTTAGGGAAGAAACTTACAGTAGAAATAACAATGCTTATAGTAGAAATAACAATGAATTTTTTCCATTTTAATCATATTTCATTTTATAGTTATCTCACATGAATGTGAAATTGTAACCTATCAGCTAACCACATTTTTTCACATTTTTACAAGTATCAACAAATTGTAAAAAGGGTTCATTTTTTACATGTCCATATACATACAGTATACCTTGATCAGAATCACCCTGTCACTCTCCCTCATCCCCTTTTCTCACTTCTCAAAATAATTTCAATAAGCTTCATTCTTTTTACACATGGACATGAAAAATTTAACCATACTAACAACCTTCCTTCCTTCTGTTCTCACTAGCACCTACATTTAAAAATATAGAACATGAAGGAAGTGGCGCTGTAGCTCAAGTGGAAGGGCACTCGCCTTGATCTGAGATAGTGCTCAGGCCTAGAGTTCAAGCCCCACAACCAACCAAAAAAAAAAAAAAATCCAACAAAAATATAGAACATGAATTTATGTGTCATCTTTGCATAAGGGCCATGCTAATTTTCTATGTCATTCTAATTTAGTATATATCCTAAAACAAGCATTTGTATTATTTCTTCAGAATTTCATAGTAGATCTACATGAAACTAATTTATCAATTCTCCAAAATCCCTTTGATTAAAAAAAAAAAGTCGGCTGAGAAGGTGGCTCAATGGTAGAGTGCTTGCCTCGCATGCATGAAGCCCTGGGTTTGATTCCTCAGCATCACATAAACAGAAAAAGCCAGATGTGGCACTGGGGTTCAAGTGATAAAGGACTAGCCTTGAGCTGAAGAGCTCAGGGACAGTGCCCAGACCCAAAGTTCAAGCCCCACGACTAACATTCACTTAAATCCTGTGGTGATGAAAAAAAAAGTTTTTTAAACATAAGCCAAACAAGTACTTTATACATAAATGTCTGAAATAAACCTGACCTCTTCAACCAAAAGATGCTTCTTCCAAGATTCTTTATTTTTGCCTACCATTAGGCAATAGCAATTTTATCCAGTGACTAGTTAAAATGTTTATTCTGAAAGAAATCGATTTTTTAAAGCCCCTTCAGAGATCCATAGTCAAAAACAAATATAAAACATATTACTAGACCACAGCTTTTCAATCTATGGCATTTTAAAAATCTTTTTTGTTTTCTTATTACAAGTCTGAGTTTTCCTCTATTGAAGTATTTCCTCTATTGAAACAACTAAATTCATTTACTTTTTTGGGGGGGGTCCAGTCGTGGGGCCTGAACTCTGGACCTGGGCGCTGTTCCTCAGCTCTTCACCTCAAGGCTAGCGCTCTACCACTTGAGCCACAGCGCCCCTTCTGGCTTCTTTTCTTTTTGCTTATATGGTGCTGAGGATTTGAACCCGGGCCTCATGCATGCAAGGCAAACGCTCTACTACTGAGCCACCTTCCCAGCCCTTCATTTACTTTTAAGAAGAGACAAACTAAAATATTTAAGAAATGTAGTCAAAATTTTTTAAAAAGAAATTTTCCCAAGATCAAGAAGAAAAAGCAAGAAGTCTTGCAATTTTTAAAATAAAAAATGAATGTACCTGGTAAAAATGTTATTATAACCTTTGACATTTCCTCCACAATTTCCTGACGGACTCTGAGGTCATCATCTGTTATTCCTTGTTCTTTTGCTAATTCAACAACTGCAATACTTAAAGCAGCCAAATGAGCAGGGGACGGAGGTGGAAGAGAACGAAGCTCACTTTCTTCTTGTTTTTCCTATTAGTGGAATGTTTCACAATAACAAGTTTCTATTTAATGATTTTATATTTAGGACAGAAGGACAGAAATAAAACTTTAACCAATATTCACCTTTCATACATCAGAAATAAGACAAATATATTAACAAAAGACACAGAAGTGAACAAAAGACTTGCTTTTTTTTTGTGGGGGGGGTGTCCAGTCATGGGGCCTGAACGCTGTCCCTCAGCTCTTCAGCTCAAGGCTAGCGAGACACCACAAGAGCCACAGCACCACTTCTGGCTTTTTTTTTCTGCTTATGTGGTGCTAAGGAATTGAACCAGGGCCTCATGCATGCAAGGCAAGCGCTCTACCACTGAGCCACTTTCCCAGCCCGAGACTTGCTTTTTTGAAGCAGGATTCAAATAATGAAAGGTGAAATGGGAGATTACTATTAACTTTTTAATGTTTGTTCTACTATATTATCTTTACAAATCTTAAAATTCAGCTGGGTGCAGGTGGCTTCCAGCTGTAATCCTAGCTACTCAGAGGCTGGGATCTGAGGATCACGGTTCAAAGCCAGCCTGGGCAGAAAAGTCCGTGAAACTCTTATCTCCAATAAACCACCAGAAAACCAGAAGTGGCACTATAGCTCAAGTGGTAGAGCACTCGCCTTGAGCTGAAGAACTGAGGGACAGCACTCAGGCCCAGAGTTCAAGCCCCACGACCGACCAAAAAAAAAACAAAAAACTAAAACTTAAAATTCTACACTAAAGCCAACATACTCATGTTTAACAGTTAGCTGATCATTTTGTTGCAGCAAAAGCAAATCATCACAAGTGTAAATTGACTATGTGGTATCAAGTTAAACAACCACAAAAAACTTCTAGATTTTATTATTACATGTTATATTCCCTACTATTATTTACAACTACCACTTGAGCCACAGCACTACTTCTGGCTTTTTCTGTTTATGTGATACTGAGGAATCCAACCAAGGGCTTCATGCATGCACTGTACCACACTAAGCCATATTCCTAGCCCTTTTTTTTTTTTTTGGTCGGTCGTGGGGCTTGAACTCTGGGCTTGGGCACTGTCCCTGCACTCTTCAGCTCAAGGCAAGCGCTCTACCCTCTTGAGCCACAGCACCACTTCTGGTTTTCTAGTGGTTTATTGGAGATGAGAGTCTCACGGACTTTCCTGCCCGGGCTGGCTTTGAACCTCGATCCTCAGATCTCAGCCTCCTGAGTAAGCTAGGATTACAGGCGTGAGCCACCGGCACCCGGCTTCCCAGCCCTCTCTTAACTTGTACGACAAACTTCTATCAGATGTTGCCTCTCTCTCATAGACCAAAAATAGCTAAAGACCTCTGTACATTTCTAATTTCACTTTGCTGTCATATTCAATCAGTATACATAAAGGTTATCTTAGGAATATAAAAATAGTGGATTAATCAACCTCATAAATTTCTTCAATCTGCAATTTATTTATCTATCTATCTATCTATCTATCTATCTATCTATCTATCTATCTATCTATCTATTTTTGTGGTCCTGGGGCCTGGGCACTGTCTCTGAGCTCTTCAGTTCAAGGCTAGCGCTCTTCCACTTATGCCATAGCACCTCCTCTGGTTTTCTGGTGGTTTATTGGGAGATAAGAGTCTCACAGACTTTCCTGCCAATGCTGGCTGCAATCCTCAGATCTCAGTCTCCTGAACAGCTAGGATTAAAGGCCTGAGCCACAGGCATCCAGCTTGCAATCTTTTTTTTTTTTTTGGTCAGTTGTGGGTCCTGGACTCTGGGCCTGGGTGCTGTCCCTCAGCTCTTCAGTTCAAGGCTAGCGCCCTACCACTAGAGCCACAGCGCCACTTCCAGCTTTTTCTATTTATGTGGTGCTGAGGAATCGAACCCAGGGCCTCATACATGCAAGGCAAGCACTCTACCACTGAGCCATCTTCCTAGCTCCCCCTTTAAAAAAAAATTTTTAGGGCTGGGAAGGTGGCTCAGTGGTAGAGCACATGCCTTGCATGCCAGAGGCCCTGGGTTCAATTCCTCAGCACCATATAAGCAAAAAGAAAAAAGCCGGAAGTGGCGCTGTGGCTCAAGTGGTAGAGCGCTAGCCTTGAGCTGAAGAGCTGAGGGATAGCGCCCAGGCCCAGAGTTCAGTCCCCATGACCGGACCCAAAAAAAAAAAATTTTACTGTTATTATTAAGATGATATACAGAGGGGTTGGTTACCATTTCTTAAGGCAGGTAATGAGTACATTTCATTTTGTACAATGTTACCCTTTCCTTCTCTCTCCAAATTTTTCCCTCTGCAATTTTTAATTATAATCTAAGTCTTAGATGACCATATAAGTTTTCAAGACAATTGTTTTAGCATTTGTCCAAAGAATGGAAAAAAGAGACATAAGACTAACATCCTATAAAATTAACTTTATATCAGAAGTTCCATAAAGGTTCTGCTAGTTTCATGAACACAACACAAAAGACAATAAACAAATGTGACTCCTCTACCTATGCTATTACTGGACTTATGCCAGTTCCATTAGTTTATCATCTTAATAAAAATTCTCACTGATGTCCTTATATCACTATTCTCTTGATGTCCTCATATATTATAAATATTACTAATGAAGTTCATGCTCATGGAAAGAGAAATTCAATAAATGAGTAAATAAAATTATATCACAAAACTATGTTAATAAAAATAAAACAGGAGTCAGGCCCCAGGGGCTCACACATGTAATCCTAGCTACTTAGGAGCCTGAGATCTGAGGAGCATGGTTCAAAGCCAGCCCAGGCTGGAAAGTCCATCAGAGTCTTATCTCCAATAAACCACTAGAAAACCAGAAGGGGCGCTGTGGCTCAAGTGGTAGACTGCTCCCCTTGAGCTGAAGAGCACATGGACAGCACCCAAGCCCAGAGTTCAAGCCCCACAACCACCCAAAATAAATAAATAAATAAAATTTTAAAAAATAAAAATAAAACAGGAGGGGCTGGGAAGATGGCTCAGTGGTAGAGCGCTTGCCTTGCATACCTGAGGCCCTGGGTTCAATTCCTCAGCACCACATAAGCAAAAAGAAAAAAGCCGGAAGTGGCGCTGTGGCTCAAGTGGTAGAGCGCTAGCCTTGAGGTGAAGAGCTGAGGGGCAGCACCCAGGCCCAGAGTTCAGGCCCCACGACCGGACCCAAAAATAAATAAATAAATAAAACAGGATACAAGGCTACAGACTAAAAGGAACATTATTTTAGTAAACCATGAACCAAAAAGGCAATTCCAAACATGTAACACTTAAGCAGAGATCTAAACAAAGTGAAGCAAAGTTTCAAATTTCTTGGATGGGTGCCGGTAGCTCATGCCTAGAATATAAAGCCAGCTCAGGCAGAACTCTTATCCAATTAACCAAAAAACCAGAAGCAGAGCTGTAGCTCAAGAGGTATAGCACCAGCCTTGAGCTTAAAAGCTTAGAAACAGTGTCTAGGCCCTGAGTTCCAGCCACAATATCATCATTAAATAAACTAATTCTAGAGTACAGCATTGTAGACAGAGAAAACAGCAAATTGAAAAACAAAGGGAAAAATACCTTTTGAACTTGGCATTGATAACTCACCCCTGTAATCCTAGCTACTCATGTGATCTAAGGATCACAGTTCAAAGCCAACCCAGGCAGGAGAGACTCTTCTCTCCAATAAATTACAAACAAGCTAGAAATGGAGCTATTCCTCAAGTGGTAGAGCACTAGACTTTTTTTTGTCGGTCATGGGGCTTGAACTCTGGGCCTGGGCGCTGCCCCTCAGCTCTTCAGCTCAAGGCTAGCACTCTACCACTTGAGCTACAGTGCCACTTCCGGTTTTCTGAGTGTTTATTGGAGATAAGAGTTTCACAGACTTTCCTGCCTGGGCTGGCTTTGAACCTTGATCCTCAGATCTCAGCCTCCTGAGTAGCTCGGATTACAGGCGAGAGCCACTGGCGCCGGGCAAGCACCAGACTTAAACACAGCTCAGGAACAGTGACCAAGCCCTAAGTTCAAGACCCAAGACTAAATTAAAAAAAAAAAAAATGAAAAGAAAAGCATATATTAAGCTGGGTGCCGGAGGAGGTTCACCCCTATAATCCTAGCTACTCAGGAGGCTGAGATCAAGCCAGCCCGGGCAGGAAAGTCTATGAAACTCTTCTTTTTTTTTTTTGTCGGTCGTGGGGCTTGAACTCTGGGCCTGGGCATTGTCCCTCAGCTCTTCAGCTCAAGGCGAGCACTCTACCACTTGAGCTACAGCACCACTTCCGGTTTTCTGGTGGTTTATTGGAGATAGGAGTCTCACGGTCTCTCCTGCCTGGGCTGGCTTTGAACTGCGATCCTCAGATCTCAGCCTCCTGAGTAGCTAGGATTACAGGCGTGAGCCACCAGCGCCCGGCAAGTCTATGAAACTCTTATCTCCAATAAGCCACCAGAAAACCAGAAGTGGCACTGAGGCTCAAGTGGTAGAATGCTAGCCTTGAGCTGAAGAGCTGAGGGACAATGCCTAGGCCCAGAGTTCAAGCCCCATGACCAACACACACACACACACACACACACACACACACACACACACACACACACACACACACACACTCTCTCTCTCTCTCTCTTAAAGAAATCAAAGGCTAGCCTTGAGCTGAAGAGCTGAGGGACAATGCCTAGGCCCAGAGTTCAAGCCCCATGACCGACAAAAAAATAAAATAAAAATAAAGGAAGATAAACCTAAAAAGACAACCACTGGTGGTTGGGTGGAGGGATGGCTCAAGTGGTAGAGTAATAGATACAAGGCCCTGGGTTCATATCCCCAGTACTACAAAAAAAAAAAATTTATAGGATTTGCTAAGGGTTGAATATAAAGTTGTATGAAAAAGGTGAATCAGAGATTACATAATTCTAGCTACTTAGGAGGCTAATATCTGAACATCTCAGTTCTAAACTAGCCTGAGTAGCGAAGTCCACTAGACTCTATCTCCAATTAACCATAAGAAAGGCTGGAGTAGAGGTGTGACTCAAGTGGTAAAGCAACAGCAACTGAGCAACAGTTGCTGAGCAACAGCAAGAAGCCCTGAGTCCAAGACCCAATAACAACGTAAGAAACAGAAAAAAAAAAAAAAAAGGAAAAAGGACAATGGAGAAGAAAGGAAAAAGAAGAGAAAGGGATAGCAGGGAAAAGGAAGAGAACGGAAAACCTTCAACAAAAACCTCAACAAAATACTTACAAATCAAACTCAGCAACATATGGAAAGGATTATACACTGTGAGTGAGATTTATTCCAGGAATTCAAGATGGCTCAACATACAAAAACTGACCAATATAATACACTATATTAACAGAACAAAAGGAAAAAGCCTACAAAAAAATGAAGAAAAAACATCTTTAAATTCAACAACTTCTATGCTAAAAACAGGCAACAGGGCTGGGAAGGTGGCTCAGTGGTAGAGTGCTTGCCTTGCATGTATGAGGCCCTGGGTTCGATTCCTCAGCATCACATAAGCAGAAAAAAAAGCCAGAAGTGGTGCTGTGGCTCAAGTGGTAAAGCGCTAGCCTTGAGGTGAAGAGCTGAGGGACAGCGCCAAGGCCCAGAGTTCAGGCACATGACCGGACCCAAAAAAAAAAAAAAAAAAACAAAAACAGGCAACAAACAAGAATTTTTTAAAAGCTACATCAACATAATAAAAAAAAATATGTGATAAACTCAGCTAATATCCTAACTGTGGAGGATGTAGGCTTTTGTCACTTCTACTCATTATAATGGAAGTTTTAGAAATCAAGCAAAATACAGAAATAAAAGGCATCCAAATTGTGAAGAAAGACATATAAATATTTCTGCTCTCCAATGATGATTTTATATGTAGAAAACCCTAAAGTTTACTGGAGTTCATCTGTAATCTCTTCGCTCTCGAGGCAGAAGCAAAATGATTCCAAGTTCAAGACCAACCTGGGCTACTTATAAAAACCTCATGCCTTAAAAACAAAACAAAAGCAGGGCTCAGCTGAAGAGCTGAGGGACAGTGCCCAGGCCCAGAGTTCAGGCCCCACGACTGGATCCAAAAAAAACAAAAACAAAAACAAAAGCAGTGGTTCTCAACTACACATTATGTTGAAAATGAACTAAACAACTCGTGGGTGGGGATGAGGGGGAAAAACTGAGAAGGAAGGAGTGACACTGTCCAAAAAGGCATGTTACTCATTAACCAGTTTATGTAATTGTAACCCCTCTGTATATCACCTTTATAATAATAAGAAAAAACAAAAAAACAAACAAGAAAATGCTAGATTAGAGAGAGAGAGAGTCCAAAAGTGAGTATATGTGAAGGGGACAGTAGGAGAGCAAGAGTGAGAGTACAGGTGAAAGGGAGATCAGAGAGAGAAAAAGAGAGGGTAAGAAAGAGGAAGATGAAGAGAATGAAAAGAGGAAAGGGACAGGGGAAGGTGAGGGAGAGGGGCTGATGTTTTACTTCAACATGATTTGTACTTTCCTGATTCTTTTTTTACACTCCTATTTCTTTATTTCTCGAATTTGTTCTATAACAAACTATCTTTTTTACTTATTTCAGTTGGTCGTGGGGCTTGAACTCTGGGTGCTGTCCCTCAGCTTTTCAGCTCAAGGCAAATGCTCAACCACTTGAGCCACAGCACCATTTCCAGTTTTCTGGTGGTTAATTGGAGATAAGAGTCACATGGACCTTCCTGCCCAGGCTGGAAGAATCTCAGCCTCCTCAGAAGTAGGATTATAGACACGAGCCACTGACGATCAGCTTTTAAGTTCTTTTTTAGGTGGGACCAAACCATATTTTGTTTTAAGCTAAACATTCTTATTAGTGCAACATCCTTCTGATTTCAATTACTGTGACTATGAGGTTTTCCAGTCTAGATAATATGAAACCTGAATAAGCATTAGGCATGTTCTCTGAAATTACTTCATCCAATTCTTTCTCTAGCCTTTAGGAAGATTTCTCACAAGCAAATATCCATGAGTACCCATCAAGAAATTCTGATATCCGAGATCTGAATTTCTTTTTGTACACTTTGTCCTATAAACTCTAACCTGCTTTAACTCTTGGACTCTAAGCTCCCTCTTTTCAATTCTGAGAGTCCACTGGTTCTTTCTTCTACAATATAGCCTGAAAACTCCATCTCAAATTGGCACAAAGGCTCCATCACTTCTTTTTCATTCTGAAACCATTACTTAGGATGCTTTTTATCTTCTCTCTTGATGGTTATTTTAAGTGGAAGGTAAATAATCTAGTCTCTATTATTCCAACTTCACCAAAAGTAGAAGTCCTTCATGGATACTTTTAAGTTTTCCATGTTGGCTGGTTATTTTGATATTTCCTAAAATACCCGATGTGTGTTTAAGTTGGCTTCGTCTTTAAGTCTAATATTTGAATTCTCTTGAGCTTCTTGGCACTAATGATTAGCATCTTTCAACACTTCCAGCTAGATGTGGTAGCACATACACATTTAATTCCAGATATTCAGGAGGTGGGAACAAGAGGATCAAGAGTTTGAGGCCAGCTGGGGAAAGGTATTAACACTTTCTTCAAAACAAAATACACATAACTTTCAAGACTCTTACTTCAGTTACTATTATTAGGCTAGAAAAATACTCGTTTTTAGTTTCATAATTTAGTTTTAGCCATTCAAAAAAACATTTTAAAATATAATTTTGTTATTATTAATGTCTTCTACATAGGGGTCCCCATTCCATAAGTCAGGTAATGAGTACAGTTCTTTTTGGACAATGTTACCCACCTCCCTGCCCACAAGTTGCATAGTTTTTTAATTCATTGTATACTAAATACAATGACTGCATCAAAAAATAAAGATTTTTGCCAGGTGCTGGTAGCTCATGCCTATAATCCTAGCTCTCAGGAGGCTGAGATCTGAGGATCACGGTTCAAAGACAGCCCAGGCAAGAAAGTCCATGAGACTCTATCTCCAATAAACCACTAGAAAACCAGAAGTGGCACTGTGGCTCAAGTGGTAGAGTGCCCGCCTTGAGCTGAAGATCACAGGGACAGTGCACCCAAGCCCAGAGTTCAATCCCCATGACCGACAAAAAATAAAGATCTTTTATTTTTTGTTTTTTTTTTTTTTGTTTTTTTTGGGTCCAGTCGTGGGGCCTGAACTCTGGGCCTGGGCGCTGTCCCTCAGCTCTTCAGCTCAAGGCTAGTGCTCTACCACGTAAGCCACAGCGCCACTTCCGGCTTTTTTCTTTTTGCTTATGTGGTGCTGAGGAATTGAACCCAGGGCCTCAGGCATGCAAGGCAAGCGCTCTACCACTGAGCCACCTTCCCAGCCCCCCCCAAAAAATAAAGATCTTTTAAAGAAGAATAACTTACCAAAATATTTTTCTTATGTCGTTTCTCCTTTATATGTTTATGTGCTCCCTGGATGTTTTCAATATGAATTAAGCAAAGTTTGCATAGATAACGACAATTGGTATATTCTGGTGATCGCTGAAAAAACAAGTTTAAAAATGCATTTTTTTTCAGGAAACAAAGAATTATTGACTTTACAAGTAAAAATCAACATAACAGAAATAAATACTGAGAGAATTAGGTTTTTGTGAGGACTTTTAGTTTATTACTTTGTTTTGTTCTAGTTTTGTAGGTTTTTTACTTTATTTTTCTGCTTTTGTTTCTTGAGATATGTCTCATTATGTAGACCAGGCTGGCTGGGAACCTGCTGTGAAGTCCAACATAACCTCACTCCTGCCCCAGCCTCCAAGTCCTAGGATTATAGGCATGCACAAGCTACCCCCTAAAGAATAAATTAATAAACTGAGATCTGAGGATTGAAGTTCAAAGCCAGCCCAAGCAGGAAAAGTCTGTGAGACTATTGTCTAATTATCCAGAAAACTGGAAGTGGCGCTGTGGCTCAAGTGAGAAGAGTGCTAGCTTTGAGCTGAGGGACAGTGCCAAGGGCCCAGAGTTCAAGCCCCACGACCAAAAATAAATAAATAGATTAATTAATTAATAAACAATCAGTACTTACATACTCAAGAGATAGCTGTCCTTTTCAAAAGTTATAATAGAAGAATAAAATTCAAACAGTATGGCAATAGTAAATGTTTACCATTCATCTACTATAACCTTTAACCTTTAGAACTCAATATAAGATAAGAAAGCAATCTTAATACACTACGTAAAAAATATTTTTGTAGCAGGGCACCATTGGCTCACTCCTGTACTCAAGCAGAAAGTCCATAAGACTCTTATCTCCAAGCTACCAGCACGACTATAGTTATTGCAGCCTTATTTACCATAGCTAAGATATGGAACCAATCTAGATGCCCCTCAGTAGATGAATGGATCAAGAAAATGTGGTATATATACACAATGGAATTCTATGCCGCCATCAGAAAGAATGACATTGCCCCATTTGTTAGGAAATGGAAAGACTCGGAAAAAATTATATTAAGTGAAGTAAGCCAGGCGCAAAGAAACATAGGTCCTATGGTTTCCCTTATTTGCAATAACTAGTAAGTATATGTCTGAGTCAAGCAGAAAAGGTCAGATAAGTTGATGTTAGGGAAATGAACCCTAAGATATGTATTCAAATGTTGTTTTTCTTTCATGCAATTGTTTCTAACACATTTATAAGATTATTTCTTTGTTGCTTTGTATGTCCCTCCCCCACAGTATAACCCCTGCTTTCACTGTATTTGATGTTGTTATAATTTGTGGAGGGGAAGGGAAAAAACAAATTGTTTAAATAGGGATACAGGTGGACCCACTGAAACAATGAGACGTACAAGTCGTTATGTCAAAAATGAACTTTACAACTTTGGGGGGGGAGGATTGGATGGGAAGTAGAAACAAAGGAAGAGGCTACAATGCTTGATAAGAAATGTACTCATTATCTTGCCCATGTAATTGTAACCCCTCTGTACAGTATTTTCACAATAATAAAAAAAAAAGACTCTTATCTCCAGTAAATTACTTAGAAAAAGCTGGAAGTAGCGCTGTGGTTCAAGTGGTAGAGTACTAGCCTTGAGCAAAAAACCAGCAGCTCAGGGACAGAGCCCAGGCACAGAGTTCAAGGCCCAGAACTAGAAAAAATAAAAATAAAAAAGTTCAGAGAAGTTACACTTTTGAGTTTCTCCCCTAAGGGTATCCTCCTTTAGTCTGACTGTTGGTATGTGATTTCTTAAGAGTCCTGTATAGGTTCTCAAATCCAGCTATATTTTAGATCTAGCTTCCACATATGAGAGAAAACATGCACCATTTTATCTTTGAGCTTAGCTTTTATCTCATTTAGCATGATTTTTTCTAGGTCCATCAGAAAAAGCTGGAAGTAGTGCTGTGGCTCAAGTGGTAGAATGCTAACCTTAAACACGAAGAGGTTCAAAGACACCACCTATGCCTTGAGTTCAAGCCTTAAGACTACAGTCATTCACAATATAATATAAATAAATGGCTAACCTCTTGGGGTAATTACTCAGAAAGAAAAAATTATGGTGCCAGGCGCTGGTGGCTCACGCCTGTAATCCTAGCTACTCAGGAGGCTGAGATCTGAGGATCGCGGTTCAAAGCCAGCCCAGGCAGGAGAGACCGTGAGACTCCTATCTCCAATAAACCACCAGAAAACCGGAAGTGGCGCTGTGGCTCAAGTGGTAGAGCGCTCGCCTTGAGCTGAAGCGCTGAGGGACAGCACCCAGGCCCAGAGTTCAAGCCCCACGACCAACCAAAAAAAAAAAAAAAAAAGAAAGAAAAAATTATGGCACAAATTATCACAAGATTCACATAGGTACTTTACTCATTATTATTTTTTTTTTTTGTCGGTCGTGGGGCTTGAACTCTGGGCCTGGGCGCTGTCCCTCAGCCCTTCAGCTCAAGGCGAGCGCTCTACCACTTGAGCTACAGCGCCACTTCCGGTTTTCTGGTGGTTTATTGGAGATAGGAGTCTCACGGTCTCTCCTGCCCTGGCTGGCTTTGAACCGCGATCCTCAGATCTCAGCCTCCTGAGTAGCTAGGATTACAGGCGTGAGCCACCAGCGCCCGGCTTTACTCATTATTTTATAAAATGATACTAAATAACTACTGAGGCCCACTGCTTGACAGGCACTATGTATGTTAAGTGTTTCAAAAGCAAAAAAAATTTTAAAAAAGCAAGCTGTCATTTTAATTTCTCAAATAATCCACTAAGATTAATATTTCCTTCTTTGGAAGGGAGGCAGTCCTGGGGCTTGAACTCAGGGCCTGGGCACTGTCCTTGAGCTTCATTTTTACTCAAGGCAGCACTCTACCACTTGAACAACAGAACCACTTCTGGCTTTTTCTGTGTATGTGATCAAACCCAGGGTTTCATGCATGCTAGGCAAGCATATTACCACTAAACCATATTCCCAACCCTATTACTTTCATTTTCTAAAACAAAAACAAAAGCTCACAGAATGGGAACTTTCACAAGGGTAAGAGCAGTACTGAGTGAGAGATGCTGAATTTAAATTCACATTATATCTGACTCTGAAACCAACACCGTACCTCTAAAGATTGTACAATAAGGTATCCAAGAAGTAAGCATTTGCTGACCATGCTTAAGGCCCTGGGTTCAATCCCCAGAACTGAAATAAATAAACAAACAAAACCAAGACAAAAACAGAAAATGCACTGAATATTCAGAAAAATACATGTTATGGTTTAGGATATGTTTAGGTGTCAAGCTGACAAGAAGTGCAGTTGTGATGGGTATTTCAAACTGTCAACTTGTTAGACTGAAAAGCAACTAGAGGGGCTGGGAAGGTGGCTCAGTGGTAGAGTGCTTGCCTTGCATGCCTGAGGCCCTGGGTTCAATTCCTCAGCACCACATAATAAGCAAAAAGAAAAAAGCCGGAAGTGGCACTGTGGCTCAAGTGGTAGAGTGCTAGCCTTGAGCTGAAGAGCTGAGGGACAGCACCCAGGCCCAGCCTTCAGGCCCCACAACTGGACCCAAAAGAAATTTTAAAAAAAGCAACTAGATTAATAAAGCACTTCACGTCTGAGTGTGTTTGTGAGGGCATTTCTGAAGAGGATTCACTTAAAGGGGACAATACCCACCCTGAATGTAAGAGGCACTTTTGCACAGACTTAGCACCTGAAGGGGAGAAAAGAGAAAGGAGAAGGCAGGCATTCTCTCCCTTTACTTCCTGACCTCCATGATCTGGTAAGCTTCTCTGTTCCACTACACCTGCCTCACAAAAACAGACTAAAACCTATGAAAACATAAACCAAGACTAATAATTCTTCCCTTTAAGTTGCTTTGTCAGAAATTTATCACAGGGGCTGGGAAGGTGGCTCAGTGGTAGAGTGCTTGCCTTGCATGCATGGGGCCCTGGGTTCAATTCCTCAGTACCACATAAGCAGAAAAAGCTGGAAGTGGCGCTGTGGCTCAAGTGGGACAGCACCCAGGCCCAGATTTCAGGCCCCATGACCAACAAGAAAGAAAGAAAGAAAGAAAGAAAGAAAGAAAGAAAGAAAGAAAGAAAGAAAGAAAGAAAGAAAGAAAGAAAGAAAGAAAGAAAGAAAGAAAGAAAGAAAGAAAGAAAGAAAGAAAGAAAGAAAGAAAGAAAGAGAGAGAGAGGGAGGGAGGGAGGGAGGGAGGGAGGGAGGGAAGGAAGGAAGGAAGGAAGGAAGGGAAGGGAAGAGGAAGGAAGGAAGGAAGGAAGGAAGGAAGGAAGGGAGGAAGGAAGGAAGGAAGGAAGGAAGGAAGGAAGGAAGGAAGGAAGGAGAAAGAGAGAGAGAAGGAGGGAGGGAGGGGGGGAGAGGAAGGGAGGGAGGGAAGGAGAGAGAGAGAAAGAAGAAAGAAAGAAAGAAGGAAGGAAGGAAGGAAGGAAGGAAAGAGAGAGAAGAGAAATAAAGAAAAAAAGAACTGGGTAGATAGTATACTGGCTACTTCAATATGAATATTTGCTGAACAAAGAAAGGGAAGGAATCAAAAAGAGAGATCAAAAAGATTGAGTACTACCTCTGTGTTATCAATGAAAAAATTATATAGAAAGAGCTTATACTTAAGAAATAAAAGTATGAAACAACACCATACTTTTTCAAGTCGAAAGATGTGATCTCTTTCTAGGCGTTCTTCAGCTTGTTTCAAGCCTAGCCTCTGCTCAGGTGTCAATGTAGATTCATCTATCACAGTAGCATTTTCTAAATAGTCCATCTCTGAAGAATTTTCTTTATTAGCTTCATCAATCTTCATTTTACCTACAAAAAGGAGCAATCAGTTATGAGAAATTGTAATTTTTTAATTAATGAAAAACAGACATTCAATTTATAGACAGATTTATACACAATTTATACAGGAAAGTATTATTTCCTTATATCTGCATGAATTGAATAAGCAGTTGTATTTATATAAAATATAGAGAAATACATGGTACCAAAATTCACAAAGGGAAATTGAGGATATATGCCAATAGTAGTAACTCACTGAGAAGAGATTCATAAAAGAGAGAGAAAACAAGGATAGAAAGCGAGTCCACCATTCAAACAGGAGATTTTTGTGTTGTTTTTTTTTTTTTTGGTCGGTTCGTGGGGCTTGAACTCTGAGCTTAGGTGCTGTCCCTGCGCTCTTCAGCTCAAGGCGAGTGCTCTACCACTTGAGCCACAGCGCCACTTCTGGTTTTCTAGTGGTTTATTAGAGGTAAGAGTCTCATGGACTTTCCTGCCCAGGCTGGCTTTGAACCATGATCCTCAGATCTCAGCCTCCTGAGTAGCTAGGATTACAGGTGTGAGCCACCGGCGCTCAGCTCAAGCAGGAGCTTTTGCAACACAGGGACTACAAAGTGGACTTGGATTCTAAGCTTGGGAAGACAATTATCATTACCAAGACAACTCCATAGATGGGAGGATATTACTTCAATGTTCAAGACTATGTGTTGTTGACTCCATCAACTTTCTGGATCATATTAATGGAAAGAAATATCATCAAAATCTGGGCATGTCCATGCATGTGAAATGTTCTACCCTGGATTAGGTGAAGAACCACTTTGAGATCAATAAGAAGATAATGGAAGCTGGATGCTGGTGGTTCACACCTGTAATCCTAGGTACTCAGGAGGCTGAGATCTGAGGATTGAGATTCAAAGCCAGCCTGGGCAGGAAAGTCCATGAGACTCTTATCTCCAATTAACCCCCAAAAAAGGGGAAGTAGTGCTATGGCTCAAGTGGTAGAGCACTAACCTTGAGCTGAAGAGCTGAGCGACAAAAAAAAAAAAGAAGATGGAAGAGAAGCAGAAGGATTATGATTTTGAGAAAAGGATGAAGGAACTAAGAGGAAGAAAAGGCTAAAGCATACAAGAAAGAGAAGCAGAAGAAAAAAGGAGGGAAGTGTACCTGACATTTGAGGAGGAGGATGAAATCAGCAGCTATGATGGGCTTTCTCTGGCTTTGGTTCCACCAAGTAGAGTTACTGAACCTTTCTGTGATGGACCTAATTTTGGCCTATGCTGAACCTAACTGTGTGTGTCATTCCTTCTGAATACTGGGAAAAGTCTTTAAGAGTGGCAAGAGCAGTACTAGAGGGTAGATGTTTGTGGTTTCCCTCTACCTTGGAGGAGGGTACAAGATCCAGAAATAATGCTGCTGCGCATTCCTTCTACCTTAGTTTGTCGCCAGTCAAAAGACCTCTTTCCATTTAAGTTCCTGATAAAGACATTTCCATCAAAGGCTGCTCTCCTGAGACTTCCCCTGCATCTTTCCCTCTTCATCTATGCAACTTCTTGTCTAAGTGTCTAAGCCTTTGTTTAAATTTTAACTCATTAGGCTGCAACAGAAGGGATCTGACCAGCTCCTCCTTTTTCCATCCTACACTATGGCTCTTTGCTACCTGTGCATGCATGTGTATTTCTGCCTGAGTCAAAAATGGTGTGTGTGGATATGTGTGCATGAATTTGTCACAGAGGGAACTTAAGCTCAAATTTCACAGTATTGCTGCTCTGGGGCTTGATGTTCTCAGTTTCCTCAATGCATTTAACAGGTAATTAAATGAGATGAATGGTTAAAAAAAAAAGTTGTGTGTGTTAGGATATATGTACTATAGAGGCAGGCACTGGTGGCTCACTCTTGTAATCCTAGGTACTCAGGAAGCTGAGATCTGAGGATCACATTTCAAAGGCAGCCCGGGCAGGAAAGTCCCTAAGACTCTTACTTTCAATTAATCACCAGAAAACCAGAAGTGGCCCTGTAACTCAAAGTGGTAGAGTCTTGAGCAAATGAGCTCAGGGACAGCATCCAGTCTCAGAGTTCAAGCCCACAACCAAAAAATTAGTAATAATGTATGTGTGCTCACACGTGCTATAAACCATAATCACACTGGACTCCTCTTCTCTGTACATTAAATTCATATATCTAACTACCACATTAACATGTTCCCTTTACTCCTTGGCCTTCTAATTAAATTGCAATTTCTTTTTTGTTGTTGTTGTTGGTCGTAGGGCCTGAACTCTGGGCCTGGGTGCTGTTCCTCAGCTCTTTAGCTCAAGGTTAGCACTCTACCACTTGAGCCACAGAACCACTTCCAGTGTTTTTTGCTTATGTGGTGCTGAGGAATCGAACCCAGGGCCTCATGCATGCAAAGCAAGCACTCTACCACTGAGCCAACTTCCCAGCACTAAATTGCAATTTCTTGATGACAGATTGTTTGCATGCTTACATTTCCAGTTTTGAGCAATATGTACCTACCATGCAGCAGTAGGCTGCGTGGACAAATTTTTGAGTTGTTTTGGTGATTCTGGAGTTTTAAATTCAAGGCCTCATACCATTTGGGATACACCCACAGCCCATATGGACAATATTTCTTTTTTTTTTTTTTAAAGCCAGTCCTGAGTTTTGAACTTGGCCTAAGGTGCTATTCCTGAGCTCCTCTTGCTCAAGACTAGCATTCTACAACTTAAGGCACAGCTCCACTTCCAGCTTTTTTGGTAATCTACTGGAAGTAAGAATCTCATGAGCTGGGTGCCAGTGTCTCAAGCCTGTAATCCTAGCTACTCAAGAGGATGAGATCTGAGGATCACAGTTCAAAGCCAGCCCAGGCAGGAAAGGCCCTGAGACTCTTATGCCCAATAAACCACTCAGAAAACCAGAAGTGGCACAGTGTCAAGTGGTAAAGCACTAGCCTTGAGCTGAAGAGCTGAGGGACAGTGTTCAGGCCCAGAGTTCAAGCCCTAGACTGACCAAAACAAAAACAAAAAAATCTCATGGACTTTGCTGCCCAGGCTGGGTTTGAACCATGATCCTCAGATCAAAGCCTCCTGAAAATCTAGGATTACAGGTATTAGTCACCAGCACATGCCTTGGACAATATTCCTAACAATTAATGAAAAGTAAAGTCAGGATCTCAGAATAAAATGAATTGTACACCATTCACAAAAAAATTATCTGTCTTAACCAATTTTTGCTTCTAATGTTGAGCCTCTCAAAGAATCTGTAGTATAATAGCCAAAAACATAATTTTTTTTTAATTAAAGAGAAAAGGGAAATCTGAAGAGCTTAAAACTTCAACAACTGACAGGCAGGATGGTTCACATCTATAATCTTAGCTACATGTTAAGCATAGGTAAGAAAAATTACACTTAAGGGCTGGGAAGGTGGCTCAGTGGTAGTGCTTGCCTTGCATGCATGAGGCCCCTGGGTTCAATTCCTTAGCACCACATAAACAGAAAAAGCCAGAATTGGCACTGTGGCTCAAGTGGTAGAGTGCTAGCCTTGAGCTGAAGAGCTGAGGGACAGTGTCCAGGCCCAGAGTCCAGGCCCCATGACCAACAAAAAAAAAGAAAGAAAAAAATCACACTTTAAAAGACAAGCCCTAACGTCAAGACACTGGTGGCTCACATCTGTAATTCTAGCTACTAGGAAGCTGAGATCTGAGAATCACAGTTCGAAGCCAACCCAGGCAGAAAAGTCTCCGTGATGGGCTGGGAATATGGCTTAGTGTTAGAGTGCTTGCCTAGCATGCATGAAGCCCTCGGTTCAATTCCTCAGTACCACATAAACTGAAAAAGTCACACGTGGTACTGTGGCTCAGGTGGTACAGTGCTAGCCTTGAGCAAAAAAAAGTTCATGGACAGTGACCAGGCCCTGAGTTCAAGCCCCAGGACTGGCAAAAAAAAAAGAAAAAAGTAAAGTTCCCATAAGACTTTTTTTTTTTTTTTCAGTGGGTTGTGGGGCTTGAACTCTGGGCTTGGGCACTGTCCCTGCACTCTTCAGCTCAAGGCTAGCTCTCTACCACTTGAGCCACAGCACCACTTCCGGTTTTCTGGTTGTTAAGAGTCTCACAGACTTTCCTTGCCTAGGCTGGCTTTGAACCACGATCCTCATATCTCAGCCTCCTGAGTAGCTAGGATTACAGGTGTGAGCCACCAGCCCCTGGCCCCCATAAGACTCTTATCACCAATTAACAACTCAAAAACCAGAAGTGGTGCTGTGGCTCAAGGGTAAAGTGCTAGCTTTGAGCCCAGAGAGGCTCAGGGACAGCGAGCACCCAGGCCCTGAGTTCAAGCCCCACAACCAACAAAAGAAGGGAGGGGAGGGAGGGGAAGAGAGGGGAGGCTGGGCACAGTGGTACATGGCTGTAAATCAAATTGTGAAGGAGATGTAAAGCAGAGGGTAGAAGTCTAGGCCCTCCCAGGCAGGAAAAATGAAACCCTACCTGAAAAATAACTAGAGCCAAAAGGGCTATTGTGTGCTCAAGCAATAGAGTACCTGCCTAGCAAGCACAAGGACCTGAGTTCAAACACCACTACTGCTAAAAAAGAAAAAAAGGCAAATCTTTTCATGGTTTCTCAAAACACTTATGATACAGTTCTAACTCTGTCATGGTTTACATGGCCCATCATTCTCCAAAAGTGACCTTTTAGCTGCATCTCACCACTCTCTCTCCCTAAATCTCTAGTCAATATTCAGTCTCATTCCTACTTGTAGTCTAACCATTAAATTATCTGGTATTTTTTTTTTTGGGGGGGGGGGGGTGGTTGTGCAGCTTGAACTTTGAGCCTTGGGAGCCGTCCCTGAGTTCTTCAGCTCAAGGCTAGCGCCCTACCACTTGAGCCACAGTGTCACTTCTGGTTCTGGTGGTTAATTGGAGATAAGAGTCTCACAGACTTTCCTGCCAGGGCTGGCTTTGCACCATAATCCTCATATCTCCTGAGTTGCTAGGATTACAGGTGTGAGCCACTGGCACCCAGCTCAGATATTTTCTTAAGCCAAAATTTACATCTTACATTTATATCATGTACTTTCTCAACTATTAAGTTTTTGATACTGAAAATCAACTGTACTTATCTGTATAGCACACTATCAGAATGGAAGCTTTCTTGAGGGCTAAGGCTGTATTTTTTTTTCCATTTCCCACTGTAAATACATGATTGGCATGTAATAAGAATCTAATACTTACATATATTTGGTGAATAAATGAGCAACATATTATCAAAACCACTTAAAAGATTGTGTGGGACTTGGGGTATAGCTCAACAGTACAGCACAAAACCACTTAAAAGATTGTGTGGGACTTGGGGTATAGCTCAAGGGTAGAGCACTTATGTAGCATGCATGAGACTCTAAGCTCAATCCCTAGCATTACAAAATAGTGTATATTTGTACACATCTAGTTAACTGACTCAATAAACTTATATGTACAGCCTTTTCATCTCCTATAATAAATTTAAAAGGTGTTTTTTAATCTTTAAGAACCATAATGCTAATATTCTTTTTGTAATTAAAGTAGCTAAGCTAAGGACAACCTAAGATAATTAATACAAGGCCAACAGCTGAGACAGACACTTACAATCCTACTCAGGAGGCTGATATGTACAAGACTGAGGTTTAAAGCCAGCCAGGGCACAAAAGTCCACAATAAATAGTCCATCTCCAAAATAACCAGCAAAAAGCCAGGCTGGAGGTGTAGCTCAAGTGCAGCACCTGAGCAAGCAAACTGATCAAAGTGAAGTTCAAACAACAACAAAAAAATCCCTCCCCAAAATTTTGACTTATGTATTTATACTTACTCAAATCATCTGATATGTCTTCCATTCCTGAAGTACTATCATCAGAATCACCAGTATTATCTGTCCGTGTTTGCAGCTTCTGAGATTGTAGCACAGTATCCAGAGATTTTTCGCCCTGTACAACTTCAGTATTTACTTTGTCCACAGGAGTAAAAGAACTTGGAACTTTTTTTCCAACCTGCTGTAATTCTGCCTGCTTTATGTTTTCTTTCAATAGTAAACTGGATACCTTTTCTGGTTCTGCTGGTGAACTGAACACTTTCTCCGATTTCATCTGAGAAGTGGGTGCTTTTTCTTCTTTCTTCTGTGAACTAAGTGCCTTTGCTGCTACTGTTGCTACAGGTGAACAGAGTGCTTTTTCTGCCTTCACTGGTAAATTAGGTGACTTTGGTAATTTTTCTGCTTTTGTCTGTAAAGTGGATACCTTTTCTAATTTTGCCTGTGAAATGGATGACTTCTCGGCTTTTACGGGTGAATTTGGTAATTTTTTTGCTTTACAATGACTTTGATCTCGAAGGACTAATCCCAAATCTTTAGGGCTTGAAACATTGGTAGCATTTATTTTACATGATTTAATATCTGTTTTTTCTATACAAATATCATTTTGCTTAGTTTTTTTATTACTATTCCTGTTTGGAGAACTGGTCCCAATTTCTTTTATAGATTTATCATTTCTACCTTTCAAAGTTTGATTAGTTATAACTTTAACTGTTTTGCTTTCTTCACAAATAACATTCTTCTTTGGTTCATGATTTTCATTTTTAGAGGTCTTGGACTCTTCCATTATTTGAAAACTTGGTTCTTTCCAATTGTAATGTAAAATGGCAGATCTTCAGAAGTTTGAAAAGCTCCAAATCCAGTTTAGGCAAGCAAACTATTTGGTTAAAAAAAAAAAAAAAGAAAAGAAAATCTGGTATTTAAAATGCAAAAGCTTTTTTAATTGTAAGAAGAAGTTTTTAATCACTTAAATTTTGTTCTCAAGACTGAAGTTTTTAAGCAGATAATATTCATAATTTTTATCAGTTTAAAAAAAATAAGTAAATAATACCAAATACTCATTGAGGGAATTCCAATGTACTTATGGTAATAAGGTATCAAAGCAAAGAATCTTTAGACATTGTTGCTCTGTATTATTACCTATAACAATTTCAACTAAGCCACCTGGTAGCTCACACCTATAATCCTAGCTACTCAGGAGGCTCAGATCTGCGGATCCCTTTTCAAAGCCAACAAGGGCAGAAAAGTCCCCATGAGACTCTTATCTCCAATTAACCACTCAAAAACTAGAAGTGGCACTGTGGCTGAAATGGTAAACACTAGCTTTGAGCACAAAGAGGCTCAGGGACAGTGTCCAAGTCCTCAGTTCAAGCCCCACAACTGACAAAATAAAAAATAAGGAAAATAAAAATAGAGCAGAGAAGAATTCCAACCTATATGTGCTATAAAGAAACACATAGAAATCCAAACTTAAGATCTTACCCATACGGATCTCTTACTAAATAGTACCTATATATACCCCAACCTACTTCAAACTCCGTTCTCTAAATACGAAAACAATGCAAATAAGTTTATCCCACTTCTGAAGTATACAGAAGTTCAAAACCAATGTATCAAGTACTGGTTAAAACCCACAGAAGGTACATGTTCAAAGAGGAAACCCTAATATAAACATGGGCTTTGAGTAGAAATATTTCAACACAGATTTAGTGATTATTGTAATAAATGTACTATTCTACAGCCATGCACAGTGGCTTATACCAGTAATCCCAGTTACCCATGGGGTGGGAAGTGAACATCAGTAAGTTTGCATTCCAAGAACAGCCTGAACAAAAAAATCAGCAAGACTTCAGGCTGGGAACATGGTTTAGTGGTTTCATGCATGCTGAGCATGCATGAAACCTGGTTTGATTCCTCAGTACCACATGAACAGAACAAGCTAGAAGTGGTGCTGTTGTCCCAAGTGGCAGAGTGCTAGCCCTGACCAAAAGAAGCTCAAGGCCCAGGCCCTGAGTTCAAGCCCCAGGACTCACCCAAAAATAAATAAAATTAGCAAGACTTCATCTAAACCAACAAACAGAGCAATAGATCATGCCTGCAATTCCAGCTACTGAAAGCCATAGAAAAAATAATCACAGTTGAAGGCTGGCCCAAGCAAACATAGGCCTGCTCTGAAAAAATAAGTAAAGCAGTGAAGTACCAGGGGCTCACACTTGCAATCCTAGCTAATCAGCAGGCTAAGATCTGAGGATTGCTAGGTTTGAAGTCATCCCAAGCAGGAGAATCCATAAGAAATAAACAAATAAGAAACACAGGAAACAAAAAAAAAGAAACAAGAATGAACATTTTTAGAAAAACTATTAGTATTTTTAAAAGAGATTATAACTATGAATCAGAAAATCAGAGTGCTGAATTCAAAGGACAAAAGAGACAGAAAAAGGAAGAAAAGTTCTAATAGATAATGGATATGAACAAAATGTGTTCATAGAAAATTCTGAGTGATGGGGCTGGAAATATGGCTTAGTGGTTGCCTAGCATGCATGAAGCCTTGGGTTGGATTCCTCAGTGCCACATAAAAAGAAAAGGCCAACCTTGAGCAAAAGAAGCTTAGAAACAGTGCCCAGGCTTTAATAAAGTTCAAGCTCCAGGACTAGCAAAAAAGAAAAAGATAAAGATAAAAAGAAAGACTGGGGGGCTGGGAAGGTGGCTCAGTGGTAGAGCGCTTGCCTTGCATGCCTGAGGCCCTGGGTTCGATTCCTCAGCACCACATAAGCAAAAAAGAAAAACCAGGAAGTGGTGCTGTGGCTCAAGTGGTAGAGCGCTAGCCTTGAGCTGAAGAGCTGAGGACAGCACCCAGGTCCAGAGTTCAGGCCCCACAAACGGACCCCCCCCAAAAAAAAAAAAGAAAAAAAGACTGGGGGGAGAGGGGGAGGAAGGGAAAGGGAAAGGGAAAGGGGAAAGGGCAAAGGGAAAGGGAAGGGAAAGGGGGAAGGGGAAAGGGAAGGGGAAGGGGAAGGGAAAAAGAAGAAAAGAAAATTCTGAGTGGTATTTCAGGACCACTCAATAACATATATAGGCAGGGTATGGTGGCTCACACCTGTAATCCTAGCTACTCAGGAGGCTGAGATCTGAGGATCACAGTTCAAAGCCAGACCAGGCAGGAAAGGCCGTGAGACTTTATCTCCAATCAAACCACTCAGAAAACTGGAAGTGGCTCTGTGGTTCAAGTGGTAGAGTGCTCGCCTTGAGCTGAAGAGCTGAGGGACAGCGCCCAGGCCCAGAGTTCAAGCCCCACAGCCAACAAAAAATAAAATAAAATAACATATAAATGTGAGCTAAATTTATATTTTGGCAGCAGAAACCATACATTTCTAAGCAGAAGTGTGCCACAGTTTCTGCTTTTGGAGTGACTTCTAAAGAAAAGAATAGAAAGAAAAAGATGAGTCATTAAATAATAGTAATTAGCAATAATATTGAAAAGCTTCTAAAAGGTTATTTGGGAGCTGGGCACTGATGGCTCATGCCTATCATCCTATCTACTCTAAAGGCTGAGATCTTGGGCTGGGAATGTGGCTTAGTGGTAGAGTGCTTGCCTAGGATGCACGAAGCCCTGTGTTCAATTCCCCAGTACTACATGAACAGAAAAAGTCAGAAGTGGTGCTATGGCTCAAGAGGTAGACAGTTTGTATTGAGCAAAAGCAGCTCAGGGATACTACCTGGGCCCTAAGTTCAAGCCTGAGGACTAGCCAAAAAACAAAAAAAGGCTGATTGAAGTTCAAAGGAACCAGGGACAAAAAGTCTGTGGGACATCTGTCTTCATCTTTTTAAGATATTCTTTATTTTTATTTATTTATCTATTTTGCCAGTCCTGGCAATTGAACTCAGGGTCTGGGTACTGTTCCTGAACTTCTTTTGCTGAAGACAAGCACTCTACTAATGAGCTACATTTCCAGCCCCTATCTTTAATTTTTGAAAAGCAAAAAAAGCCAAAGATGGAGCTGTGGCTCAAGTGGTAGAGTTCTAGGCTTGAGCACAAAGTTCAGGGACAATACCCTGGCCTTGATTCCAAGCCCCATAACCATCACAAGAGAAAGGAAGAAAAGAAAGAAAAGGAAAGAAGGAAGGAAGGAAGGAAGGAAGGGAGGGAGGGAGGGAGGGAGGGAGGGAGGGAGGGAGGGAAGGAAGGGGGAGGGGGGAGAGAGGGAGGGAAGGAAAAAGAACTGAATCTTTCACATTCTTTTTTGGTCAGTTGTGGGGCTTGAATTCAGGGCCAGGGCACTATCCCTGAGTTTTTAGGCTCAGGTTTAACACTCTAACATTTTCAGTCATAGTGCCACTTCCAGACTTTTGGTGGCTAAATGGAGAAAAGACTTTCCTGCCGAGTCTGGCTTTAGTCCTCATATCTCAGTCTCTTGAGTGGCTAGAATTATAGGCATGAGCCACCAGCACCAGGCTCAGGTTCTTCAATATACAAAAAAGCACTATGAAACTAAGAGTCATGGAATTTGCAACTTATTTGATTAAATGAGCATCTTCTTCCCAGCACCACCTATCAGTGTCTCAAAAAGCTTTAACTCAAGTTTTAACACTGTTCTATAAAGCAGAAGGTCAACACTCAAAAAGAAAAGCAAAGATGGGGCTGAGAAGGTGGCTTAATGGTAGAGTGCTTGCCTTGCATGCATGAGGCCCTGGGTTCGATTCCTCAGCACCACATAAGCAAAAAAAAGCCAGAAGTGATGCTGTGGCTCAAGTGGTGGAGCGCTAGCCTTGAGCTGAAGAGCTGAGGGACGGTGCCCAGGCCCAGAGTTCAGGCAGAAAGAAAGGAAAGAAGGAAGGAAGGAAGGAAAAGGAAAGCAGGCAGGCAGGCAGGCAAAGATGGATAAGAGGGCTTAATCAAATAAGGGTTAAAAACAGTACCAAATTTAAGGAATACAAGTAAACTGACTAGAAGGTCAGCATTCTATGTTAAGTACCTAACTAAACATATAAAACATCAATTCATTATTTATACAATTATACATATTTGAATTCATACTAGGTAGGAAATTTACACAATGAATTATTTCAGAGATAGATAGCAAATTATGCTAGTAGAGAAAGGAATAAAGCAAAAATAGATTACGAACACCAAGCTTGAGATAGATCACAGAACTAATGAAACATACAAGGGAGGCTGAGAAGGTGGCTCAGTGGTAGAGCGCTTGCCTTGCATGCCTGAGGCCCTGAGTTCGATTCCTCAGCACCACATAAACAAAAAGAAAAAAGCCGGAAGTGGCGCTGTGGCTCAAGTGGTAGAGCACTAGCCTTGAGTTGAAGAGCTGAGGGACAGCGCCCAGGCCCAGAGTACAGGCCCCACGACCGGACCCCCCCCAAAAAAAAAAAACAAGGAAAAAGTAGATAATTTAGAAGATTTTGGTCAGTTTTTAACCACACAGTGGGTAAATCAAGGTAGAGTTGAACTATCATTGAAATACAGAAACTAAGGAAAATTAGAACTAAAGTGTTAGGTAAATCTCTGAAGTTACACACCTAATAGCCCAATATTTTGTCAACTATTACAACTAAAGATTAGGGAATGTAGAAGTGACTTAAAAGATTTCCAAAATTGTGATGAGATGTAACTCAGTGGCAAAGCATTTGCCTAGTAAGTGCAATGTCCTGGGTTCAATCCCCAGTACCAAAAGAGAAAAAAAAAAAAGAAACTTAAAAAATGATTTCTGAAATTACTGGACACTGATGGCTCACTCCTGTAATCCTCTTCAGAAGGCTGAAATCTGAGGATCAAGGTTCAAAGCCAGCCAGGAAAAGGAAGTCTATGAGACTCTTACCTCCAATTAGCCACCAAAACACTGGAAGGAGAGCTCTGGCTCAAGTGAT